GCGAACACATCCTGAACTCTATGTGGGCTTACTAAGCCTTACCTCTTCCTGAATCAATGGACTTCGAGAGTTTGTCCCCGAACCTAGCCCGAAGGAGCTTACTAAAGCCATACCTCAACCTGAATTAATGGACTTAGAGAGGTTTTTCCCGAATCCTCGTCCCGAAGGACGTGGGCAGTACGGCACCGTAGGTGCATATGGACGCTGAAGGCGTACCAGGAGGTCAAGTTGACGTCGAAGCTTGGCTTGAGGACGCTCAATTGCCGTTAAGCGATCCGAGGTCTCAAAGCGGTAACGCTTAAAAGACCGACGGTGTCGATCGACACGCTTATCGATCGATTCCAGGTGAGTCCTCACCGATGCAAGGGCATCACGCTACAGGACTGTCAGGCGACGCTCGTTCTCATATAGACGAGAGGTCAACGGGTCATCGACCTCCTTCAAAATTGATTGATGACCAGGGCCATCAATAATTCCACGTGGATCGCCTCTTGGATCGGCGTCGTCACCTGGATCATACCCAATACTTGGTGAAATGGAGGGGGTTACCCCCAGTCGTATGACTCGTGGGAGTATGAGGCACCCCTCAGGAAGGATTGCCCTGACGCCGTTGACGCTTTTGACCAGGGCGGTCAGAAGCGGTGACAGCTGTCGTCGGACGCTTCCTAGACTAGGTGCTGTGGAAGTAGGGTCGGTAGGATGGCTTCGCTCTGACCTTGCAGAAGAAGCCAATGCCGGTACATCACTCGAGTGAGAGGTACGGGCAACAGCTTCAGATATTTGTTCCTCACACGTCTTTGACCTGTATGTAGAGGGTAATTGAAGTTTCGCTTTCAGCTTAGCCGAGTTAGAATGTAGACGACGTTCTAACCAAACATCTTGCGCATTAGCGCTTAGACGCAAGTTTGATAAACTTGAGAGCTTACATGCTCGTTCTACCCAATGGGTGAACTTGTGATCTTGTGCAGATGTTTCACGTGGTGCAAGCACCGCTGGTATGCCTTTTATTGGGTGCGAGGGCACCCCTTGTGACTGTCGTGACAGGCACTTCTGATACGATTTCATCGTAAGCTTCTGGGGAGTAATGAGCCGCTCACAAAGAGCAACACTATCTGCATTCTCGCAGGCCGTCAGGGCATGGGACCCAATGTCATAGGCTCGCAAAGATTGTGATGCAGCTCGTCGAGCTTCCTCATTAGGGGTCCCGGGGCACAAACCATTAATCACGTCGTGAACATGTTTGTTTGGGCCGTGTCAAAGCGGCCGCTCGGGCCTCATCATCAAGTTGACGACGCTGAGCATCGCCAAGAGGGTTAGTAACCTCTTCGTCAGTACCCTCTTGCGAGGGAAGTGATGGCTCTTGGCGCAATCGGGTTGTCTCCTTTGTGGGAGACGACACAGAATGGGACGTAGGTCCCTCGCTTGGTGATCGTGATGATCTTGGGGTACCATGACCCGAACGAGACTCGGCTCCACTACTCTAGAGGATACGTTACTGTCATCGTATCCAAAAATGTCGCGGTGCATTGCATCATCCATGATGGAGCTAGCGCTATAGGAACAATTGCTTCATAAAGCAAGTGTTGTGGACACTGTAACGCTTTAAAGCAAGTTTAAGGCACCTTGTGCTGTGAAAGCAAGTTTAAGGCACCTTGTGCTGTGAAAGCAAGTGTGCGTGAACACACAAAAGGTATTAATAATACCAATTGCTTGACACTTAACGCTAATAAGCAAGTGTCGTACCACTAAATGCTTTAGCGTGAGTGAGACGCACTATATGCTCAAAGAGCGAGTGTCGTAACACAAGGATGCTTATAAAGCGTGTGTTCAAAGCATGGGTGCTCAAAGAGCATCACTGCTTGAGATTTCTATTACTCCTGAGGAATCGTATCAATGATATTAGTCTCTTTGAGACGCGGTTACAACAATCGATAGCCACAAGCTTACGAGCTAGCCTAGGAGGGTTAAGCACCCTAAGACGTAGAAGCTCTCTGAGCTTGTCTTCCTCTGCACATAGTGCATACGTATCTTTGCTACAGTAGTTTGACTACTTCTTCTGCACATAGTGCATAAGTAGCGTAGCTACAGTAGCTCGGCTACAATTACATTTATTATAATGGATGCACAGAGAATTAGTGGTAAAGTAATGAACCCACAGGGTGCGAGAATGTGGGCAAGATCTCAGTGCAAGGTTGGATGCAAAAAAGGGGAGCCGTTAGCTTAAAGGCCCCATAGCGAAGGGTTGGCGAAGGCGCTATGTCTTCCTTGAAGGCGCCCAAATGTACTACTACCATAATGATATCTGTCGACTGTCGGAAGTATTATTTTGATTCACACAATGATGACTTGGTTGTGGGAGCCGTTGACTGCGTGATGCTTGTATGCTTGAACAAAGTGAACGCCTTGATCTACCGGCAACAGGTATTGCCATTCACACGAGCTATCGTGCATGGCATAAATGTCACGAGATGGATATACTATCTGCATTCGATCCGCACTTGAATATGCCGTCACATCGACTAGGTCTGGAAATGTTGTGAAGCGCGACCTGCCTAGTGCCCGCGTGTACAATATGAAGGGACAATTCAGCTATCGGTTCTGGTACGTCATCTTTGTAAGTACGACACTCATTGAGCTCGCAGGTATCGTGCTGTAATTGCGTCTTCGTATCGAGTCTCGGACAAGACAGAGATGTGAGGAAATCCAGTTGGTTTACGCTGACACTTTGCAGTGCGGTGACATATGATACCATTGTAGAGGGTCGGTCAATCCACATTGCCTTGTAAGATCAGGTAGCATACACATCCGAAATTGCACCATTATTTGCTGGCTACAACTGGTAGCACTTGTTGTCAGCCCGCACCTGGGTTTGCGACTCCTTTTCTGTGTGAAAACGAGAAAAGATATCGATGAGATGTCAGAGGTTGGCTTGTCACAGGCACAACAGGAAGCGTTGCAAAACAGCTCCCTATCCTTGGCCCTGAAGGCGTGCGCTTGTTAACCTCTTCTTCGCCCTAGGCGATGATGAGGTATTCCACGTCCTTAGGGACAAGGATAGGATGCAGCTTCTGCAACCCTTCCTGTTGTGCCTGTGATAGATCAACCGCTGAATCTCATCGATGTCCATTCTCAGACAAACAAGTAGTCGAAAACCCAGGTGCGGGATTGACTACAAGTGCTATTACGTGTAGCCGAGCTACTGTAGCTACGCTACATATGCACTATGTGAAGAGGAAGACAACCTCAAAGAATCTTATACGTCTTAGCGTGCTTGCCCCTACTAGGCTAGCTCGTAAGCTTGTGCCTATTAGTTGTCACAACCGCAACATATACTGATTCCTTAAATGGGATAGCACGCTCAAGTTGTAAAGCTTACAGAGCAGGTTGAAACTGATTTATATTTTTGTTTATCTTCTAACACTAAATATAGAAGCACCTACTCTATACTTATTGCTAGTCACTATGTACTGGCTTTATAGCCTGTTATTATTACGCAAACATGAATAGTCACTATACTTTACATAAGTATAGTGACCACGTGGCTTTGCCACGATATGACCCTTCGTACCTAGGTATGGTTACATCGAGCCTACTTTTGTACCCAAGGTACAGCCACGCCACATTGGTGTGGCAGGTGTGTATGTAAAATACACACCTTCCTGTAACCCTGTTACATAAATTAACTACGAACACCTTGCGACACTAAATTGTCTACATGCGGCATAAACGTCATTGGTGCAGCTCCTAGGACAACATAAGTGTCCACAAATGTTCAATATTTCCCACGTCGTGAAAAGTACGTAAGTGGCCATGTCGGGTAGAAATATACACAAACTGCTGCTTTTGACAATCCTTTAGGTAAGAAATGAAGCTGAAAAGCAGCATAGAACAACACTATGACGAGAATCCAAGTCTCCCACGTAGTGATCATGTAGATAATCCTTGACAAAGACCAAAGCATTGTTAGAAAAGTCAGTCTAACAATAAGACCGAAGAGATGGCTACATCGAAGCTCTGGAACTTCCGTCCAACATGCGGCTTTGATTACGACTGCGCTGCTGTTAGCTTGTTCTACAAACTTTTCCGATGCAGCTTCATACTCGGTTACAAACCACGCAGACGCATTGTTTTGAACAAACTTGAAAAAGTCATTTCGACGAGCCTGGATCTGAAGTAACGCGCGAGGCGAAATGTTGGAGCTTGCCAATAAAACTGGTAATCGCATTACAACATCAACTATCCCATTAGTTATCGACTGCGTAGGGTTCAAATTGCACGAACGTTTTCATTCTTGTTAGAACGCACCAAATAGACGGATAAGATGTTCGGCGCCATAGATCTGCGAGAGTGGCACGCCCTCTGTCTCCTCTTGGCGGAGCTCCTGATACTGTCGATGTTCCATGCGATAGAGCAGAATGGAGCTCAATGCACGATCAAAATAGGACTGCACTCCTTCCATAATACCTTCAACGTTCGTGTATTCCTTCTTATCGCTCACCTGGCCATTCCGCACCTTTGACTTTTTGAACTCCAAGCATGTCTTGATAATCTACATCATCCAACCAATATATCAATCAATACAATCAGTAGATCAATACAATCGAGTCATCCATCCAACAAAACTCGAATCTCTTCTCACCTGATTAACGTTAGGCTTCCTAGCTAACGGTACAAATTGATATGGTGCATGAGTCACGTTCTTCCACGAGCTGTTTCTTGAGCGAAAACGGCATCTGAATATTAGTTTGCTTCCCTGACATTTTCTCTGTTTGATTTTGCTCCTTGAGTCCTGAACACTCTTCATAGTCATTCTCTACATTTCGTTTCAACCGCTTGAACGGCGACTTGCAAGAACGAAGTGAATCCATTCCACCTGAACTTGTTTGTTTCTCTTTCATTAGTTTTTTCTCCTTCTTGGCTTGTACAACATCTTCCTTGGCCTGTTGTTGCAGTATACGATTAGCCAATGTGTCTTCAAGCACACGATCGTGACGTACCCACTCGTCCCATTCCTTGGCCCATCCTTGATAGTGCACGTAAAACTGTGTGTTGGCCATCAATTGTCCTCCATCACCAGTCGTTTCTTTTGCGCCTTGTCCATTGCCCCTTGGCATCGTATATCATTCGGCCATGATATGCTAGCACCGTGTCACCTACTTTGATCACCATCTTATAGATAGGAATGGAGGACGGAGACAGAATGTGGGGTAGCACACTAGATTGGTATCTGCGACATCATCTGCATCGCAGTAGAAATCTGAAAGCTTCTTCAGATTAGGCTAAACACTCTTTCATCTGCGTCAGTCGCACCTAAATAACACACCGATGACTATGCATTAAGTACAATTTTCTTGACTCTTTGGATGATATCTACATGGCAAACAAACACCTAGGAAGACACACGATCGATTCCAAAGTGTTAACTATGCTGTAGCCTGTCATAGTACGACACTTCCTTGTGCGTTTTGAATCGCGTGCTACACGGAAATTGCCTTGAAAAGCGCACAAAAGAAAGCAGCGTAGCTAAATTAATTCGTAGCCAAAACCTCGGTTCACTTTTGCTACTCGATCTCTCTCTTTTCTTTCAAATTTAGCAGCACCCACATTTCCTGCACGGTGTCACCACCCTTCGTACTTTTCCACTTAGTAAACTGCCATGCTATCTAGCAGAGGAATGTCCGCTTTATCGGACATGTAGTCGACATATTCGCGCAGCTTAGTCGGCCACTTCAAGTCACGAACAAGTGTCAGTCCACGCAAATGACCGAAAAAGCTGATGTCGTCATAGCTGAGATTTTCATTCACCGACTGGTTGGAGTAGAACATGGGAACCAATCGCTCCAGTAACTCATTCGCCTGTTCTACTAGCTCTGGTGTCTTGGCCAGTGCATCTTCAAATGAACCAATAGCTTTCTCTTTCTTGGCACGGTAATATTCGCGGCTTTCAAGTCGGGCAAATTCGGCAAACGGGGCCGCGTGAAAACGTGGATGATACAGCTGACGGAACACGTTGGCTGCGTCTTTCAGCCACTGTTTGAGCTCCGGACGGTTTGCCGACGGGGCCAAGACGGTCGAACCACCGTAATTTTCGTCCACATAGCGGACAATATCCAAACTTTCCGGAAAGGCGTGACCATTGGGTAACTGAAGTATAGGAACCTGCTTGGATCCAACGAGACTAATGGGGGTGACCTCATCGTGGTTGGCCAAGAAAACGAGCTCATGGGGTATTTCCTTGAAGCCAAAGATCATACGCGCGCGTACGCAGAACGGACAATGGTCATAGATATACAGCTTTGGTAAAACGTTTTGGTTCTTTGGCTTACGAAGGAACAATGCACTGGTTGTAAGGCCTATGGCCGAGCCAACGGCAAAAGTCGTGACCAATTTGACCACGTCTGACATGATGGAGAAGGAGAAGGCAAATGACGACCTATTTCGGAGATATTATAGAAGTAAATTAAAAAAATCATAGAATAGATGAAATCTTACAAGATACTAAAAGCCAAAATTACGTAATGGAATTCAAAATTAGTAATATTTTTTTAATCGGAACGCTCCTGGGACTAAAACTGAAACACTCCGTGAAATCGTTGGTTTGAGAAATCAAGTTACTTCAGATAGCAATATTACTGCAGCTAATATTTGCTGCTCTATCGTTTGCTGTATGTAGTCTGCTCGAAAGCAGGTAGGTGTGGGTGATGCAGAATAGCAGACGAACTGGCTTCGGCTAGATGAAAATCACTTCAACGTAGATATCGAGTACTAGTTGCTGTTAAATCGTTCAACAGTTTTGGATTCGCTTTGCACAAGTAATAATCTGAGGTGCTTGTGCAAAGTGAATAACTGTTACTGTAACGGCGCGAGAGCTCCGTTACGTAGCCTACACTAAAGGTCTTATGAGGAAGCGTAAGAAGTACGCAATTTACTTACGTACTTAAGACTATTTTGAACTTAGATACAAAATCCTAAACCTTCTGTGAACCACCCAAATACGTGCCAAATATTAATTGGGTGAAATGGGGCTATACTCCACTGTTAACTGATCAAATAATGGCACTAAAGATACGCTATTTGTATCTTTTCCTTTTCCTACTTTATGTAATATTGTCAATATTCTCTACCTAGTTATGCATAATAATGGGACCGTTATTGTTGCCATATCGTTACTTGATATGGCGTGTAACGATGCGACCACGTTACACCACCCCCACTCAGAATGACAAATACCATGAGTGGAAGGGACCACAGCACAGCAGATACACACCGCGTAACTTGCACTGCTTCACCGAGTCGCCAACCAGCTTCGGCACCGCGCAAAAACCCAGCGGTGCCTTCGATGACCTTCAATCCACCGAGAAGATACGTAGATACCTTGCGAGTCTGGACCTTGTATGACTGCAGTGGTATCCAGTAATCACGTGGGGACGAGGTCATGGCCGATATGTGGTGAAGGTGGAGAGCAACGCGTAGAAAACCCATCACAGTTACCCTAGCCGTGACCCAAAACTCGCTTGATGAATCATGGACTGCGTTCGTGCGACGCTGGAGATCGGAACCACATTTCGGCGAATTATCACCATATTGGGAGGAACAGCGACGGAAGTATGGGGTGTCCGACTTGCGTGAGAAGGTGTGTACAATGTCTTGGAACGCTGGACGACCGTATTGCTACGTGCAAAGGCGCGAGGGATGTCGATTTTGTCGCGGTGAGCAAGCTCCAACCCGCGTCGAGTGGGAATCGATTCTTGCGCAATATCCAATGACGGAAGAAGAGCGCCCGTGGATAGGGCGCTATGAACGTGCTCTCTCGATTTATGAGCATGTACGTCTGCTCGGTCGTGCACGTACTCGACCGACACGTGACTCACGTCCACGCTCGCGGTCTACAAGTCCTCGACCGCGAGAACCACCACGTTCGCCTCGGCGTCGTGCTCCTTCACCACGTCTGTATCGTCGGCGAGAAGAATGGAGCGAGGATCCCACGAATCGCTCGTGGAAGGGAGACCAAGCCAGCGAACGCGATAATGACGACCATCTGAGATCGCCGTGGGACGGCCATGACTGGAGGCGCGGTGATTCAAAGTCTACAGGTCGCGATGCTCGAGAAGCTTATCGACAATCCAGCGCGGATTCGCGGCGATATCAATCAGCGGGGGAGGACCATCGCGGTGGAAGCGTGCATGAGGTGTCTGCGAGTCTGGCGGGGTCTGAGATGACCGAGTCTCTCGCGAAGGAGCTTCGCGAGTATCAACAGCGCGTTGGGTTGGTTAGATATGACGCGGAGTAGGCGAGAGAACTGGCTGAGCTTGCTGACGCGAGTGAAGCAGGTGGCTTCGAATGTAGCCGGATTGGGGGCTCGCTTGGAGCGTTTGGAACAGTCAAACGCGGCTCTTTGGAAGGACAAAGCGGTGTTGCGCGGGGACCGTCGACCGGATCCTCCAAGGAAGCCGAAGTACCGCGGGCCACGTTATGCTCCCGCGGTGGGACCTCCTGATCAGTCGGGAGGAGGGCCGGCTAGTAGCGTTTGAGTCGCCCGACATAAAACGTTGGGTGAAGTTGCACTGCAGTAGGGATATCAAGCGTGTAGGCATTTCTCATAACATTGACGAGCTTGAACGGTCCAATCTTGCGCGGTGAAAGTTTATTTGCACCAAGGTTTGCCGCAGATGCATCTTGAATGCCTGTCGTGGATAACGACACGGAGTAACCCACGGAGAACTTCAACAAGTTCTTGCGTTTGCGTTGATCCGCGGACGCCTTCTATTTGTCTACCGCGCTCGCGAGCGCATCACGAAAGCGAAGCACAACGACTTGAGGGATCGATCGACAGATCTGTTGGACGACGAAGGTAATGGAAACGCACGACGCGTAGGAGTAATCAAAGTTTCGCTAGCCCATTCTGTAGCGTGATGCACCGACAACGGAGTCAGCTTACGCTGTCAAGCAGCGCAAGTCATTGTCACAATATCCGACGCCGGGGAAGGCGAGGCGTCATCGTGGGTATCCGCAGCGCTTAATGCTGCGTACTTCGTCAAATCCATAACTCTTGGGGTATCTCCCCCAACAAGAGTAGAACCACACTCTAAACCGAGAAGGACAGGCACGCGTGGATGACGCGCGCTATTGACGAAGGAGGGTGTCAATCCCGTTGAAGCGTGAACGGCGTTATTATATGCAAACTCGGTCATGGGGAGAAAAGCACTCCATGGCTCGTATGACGTAGCGTAACTTCGCAGCACGTCTTCCAATACGCGCTTCACACGTTCAGTCTGGCCGTCGGCTCGAGTGCGCCACAGTAGACATTAACAATCTGGTACCCAGTAACTCGAACAGCCGCGACCAAAAGGCGGCTGTGAACCGGCGATCACGATCCGAAACGATTGTAGTGGGCATTCCATGGTGTCGAAAGACCATGTCCAAGAAGATTGTCGCCGTATCTGTTGCAGTTATTGATGTGGCGACCGGAGCCAGATACACCATCTTGCTAAACCGGCGAACGACGACGACGATACCAGTGCGCCCCTGCGCGTCTTCTGGAAGGCCAAATACAAAGTCCATGCTAACTGATCGCCACACCTCGGTGACAATGGGTAATGGAGTCAGCGGAGCTTGAGAGGACGGAGCTAATTTCACGCGTTGGCATGTCTCGCAGGAACGAACCCACTTATACATATGGGGCCAGTGAAAACACGTGGCAGCGCGAGGTACGTCTTCTCCCATCCTAGGTGACCGCTCGTCGCGCTGTCATGATACTCGTGGAGTATGCGTGCACGTAAATCATCATCAAGTGGAACGAAGATGAGAGGAGGATCAAATTGATCGACCTGGTACATTAGCAGGTCGCCAACAATTGTGTAACGAGAAGCTTGGGCACGTGGCGGCGCTGTCAGTTTGCACATCGACTCATCCGATGGGTCTTGATAGTATTTCAAGAGTGGCAAAAGGAACTTATCGCTATGGTACGCCGTCACGATGTCAGTACGGGGCGGATTGACAGCGCTCACAGCGGTCGTGCTTACTCCAAGAGCCACGCTCTTCGTCCTCGATGGAGGAGCAAACTGGACCGTCACCGCGAGGATCTTAATCGGGACGACGTGGCAACGCGCCGGTGATAATGTTTGTCAAACCAGGCTTATAGTAGACGACAAAGTTGTATTCGGAGAAGAACGATAGCCAGCGCGCCGTGCGCTGCCTGAGGTGCGGACTTTTTGTGGCTGTCCGCAACGATGCGTGATCCGTAGAGTGCGAACGTTTCTTCACCAAGCAGATATACGCAAAACTTCATTAGAGCATAACACATCGCTAAAAACTCTTTGTCATGCACAGGGTAATGCTCTCTGCAGGTTTCAACTGCCGAGACTGATGACTCACGACACGTTCGTGGCCTTCGTCATCATGTTGCATTAGAGCACAACTAATCGCAAAGTCGCTCGCATTACATGCGACATGAAAAGGCTTGGAATGATCTGTCAAGGCGAGAACTAGAGCTGATGACAGTTTCGCTATAATAGCATCAAAAGCGCTTCGATGCTCCTGACGCCACGCCCACGTGGCGTCCTACTTCAACAACTGGGACAGCGGGTGAATAACTGCAGCAAAGTCTTTCGCGTAATGATGCAGATAATTGGCAAGACCAAGCCATTGACGCAATTGCTTCGGGTTCGTTCGCTCTGGCCAGGCGCTGATCGACGCGACCTTCCCGCGGTCAGCGCGAACACCTTTCTCGCTGACGTAAGAACCTAGCACAGGGATCTCTGGAGCACAGAAGATACACTTCTTCAGGTTCTCGTACAGCTTAATTGCATGCATAGCTTCAAGCACCTTACGGAGGTGACCCAAATGAACGTCAAGGTCCTTTGCGCCTTCAGCGGCGCGGCTGTGTACGAAGATATCGTCGAAATAGCTAGGCGCAAAGTCTCGAAATGGCCGCAGAACGTGCGAGACCATACGATTGAAGGTGGCAGGGGCTTAAGAACGCCTCTGCGGCATCACGAGCCATTCCCAGAGCATTATACTGGGTGTACTAACCGCTGTTAGGGGAATGTCCTTTGGACGCATGAGGATTTGATAGAATCCGTCTGTCAAATCCAGAGTAGAGAAGATTGTGCTGCCCAATATGGTGCCCAAATCCATGTCCTTCCGCGGAATCGGGGTCAGTGCAGGGATCGTAGCATCGTTCATCTTGTTAAAGGTGTGAGCGATGCGCCAACCTCCAGTCGTTTACTTAACACAGAAGGTGGGACTTGAGTGTGGAAGACACTCTCACGGAGATGACCCGCCTGTCGTTGACCTTCGAAGAAGGTGTCAATCGCATCAATTTGATCACGAGGAAGCAACCATTGCCGCGTAACGCAATATTTAGACCTGGCACGAGATCGATCTCGTGCCGTCACCACGGTCAGCCTCTTAAGATCACGCAGCATCTCATCCCAAGACACTTCCGGGAGCTGCGTGATGCCAGACTCGTTGCAAAGTAGACTTGCGACTTGGAGCGAATGGATGCTGGGACCTGTACCAGTCAAGTTCACCACGCTAATCGTTTCAAATGCAGAAGCAGACGCGGCGGATCGCGCTTGCTGTGGTAAACTTGAGCGCGCGCGTCGCTCTCGACGGCGCTGAGATGCTGACCGCTGGGGTGTTGCGTCAGGCTTGGATTGTGGGAGCCCCTGCTCGACCACAACTCCACTCGACTCAGGGAGTTTCTGTTCTACCTTAGTCTTAATCTCGGACACCGAGCGTCACTGCGCTGGTGTTTCATCGGGGCGAACGGAGGCCACTGCCGGTACGGAACGAGTAGTAGCCACTGCTCGCTCATTTCGCACGAACGCCACTGCGCCGGTGCGGTTTCTTGACTCAGGAACCACTGTTCAACTGAGGGGGCGCAAGTCGCGTGGTTGCACACCGGGCACGAAGGGCCATCGCTCTCTTCACTGGAGGTGTATGTAGAGGAGCCTGGGTCTACGACGGCAACGTGCGGCCATGTTTTCGCCGACCTGGAGAGGTGGGCGAGAACCGAGGTGACATCGATATCATGTTTCTGAACCGTGCAATTCTGCCAATCGATGTCCAGAAGATGCCGAGCAAGCCAAGGCATCCCAAAAATACAGTCGAATGATCCACTAAGGTCAAATACCAGGAATAATTACTTCTCACAAAGCCGTCAAATTAATACGGCACAACTACGGAACGCTGTCGCAGCGTGCGTGGCTTGCCGTCAGCATACTTGACGGTCATCTCTCCCTCGCGGACACACAGCCGAGGGGGAAGAATTTTCAAACTTCGGCGCAAATAAAGTTGTTCGTTGCGCCTAAATCCAGCAAAGCACGAAGGGGTCGTCTGGCGCCGTCGACACACACTGAGTACCATTAGTCGCTTGTCATTGCTGGATGTGGTGGCATTAAGCTGCGCATGGAGCGTAGCGGGGCTAGAAAAAAGGAGTCACAACGGAGGTAAGTTTCTTCCAATTTGCCCAGTAGGTCGCCCCGCGCCTACTGGTCGCAGCCGTTTTTAGACTGCGCAGATGGATCAACATGTCTGTCGGATTCGACAGCGGCGAGAGCAGGAGATGGCGCGCGGCACACCGCTACGCGATGACCCGGTTTGTCTGTCGGATTCGACAGCGGCGAGAGCAGGAGATGGCGCGCGGCACACCGCTACGCGATGACCCGGTTTGCGACAACGGAAACACACTAAGGGACGTTCCGAACGAACATAACTACTACGCTGAGGCATTGAGCGCCGAGCCTTCGATGCTTCTACTGCGTCGATTTCTATTGGCTCAGGAGTCGATGCACGGGCGTCTGTCATCAACGTCTTGGCGTATGAAGAAGCCACGACATAGTCTTCACGAAACGCGAGAACGAAAGCCTACTCCACTTACTGCACAATTTGCTTCCAATACAGCAAGTCAAGTACTCTATCTGACTGCATTAATAGCTTCAGTTGACATCACGACCATGAAATTCTCCATCTTCCTCGTCGCTGCCATCGCCATTCTTGGTGTCGTCACAGCTACCGACCAGCCTGCCGTGACAACACCAGCCGAAGCTCTCAAGAAGATTCAGGCGTCCGCCTTACCCGATGGCGTCACGCTAACTGGTACGACGGAGAAGATTGACCCACCTGCTACTGCAGTTGTCGCGAAGGAATCACATACCCGTGATGACAAGGATGATGACGATGATGAAAAGGAGCAATTTGGCTGGGGTTTAGGAGGTCTTGGTGGATGGGGCCTCGGCGGCTGGGGCAGTTGGGGAGGCTGGGGAGGATATGGACCCTATCGCTTCGGCTTTTTGCGAGGTGGCCAGGGAGGGCCGGCGTGCGTAAGGCAGTATCTCGTCATGCCTTCGAGCATGCATGAGAGGCAGTAGTGAACTTGAGACGTCATGTCGACCGGCTTCGTGACGATGGACAAAGCCAGATGCCGTGTTCGTTGAACGTAGTCGCGCATGTAAAGCTTGCCTTGTTCAAGGTCAAAGAATTCGGTACGTAGGCGCGACTCGTCTTGTGGCGTCTCAAAAGCCAGTCGTAAGTCACTCTGGAGCGCTTCCAGAGTGGATAAGGCGTACTGGTTGACTACCAGCTTTCCTAAAGTCTTCTCTTTCGCTTTACCAGTCAGGCGTGAGAGGAAGAAGTTTTCTTTCGATGACATTGCCTCGATAAGTCTCGAGGTGATAGCGACATCGACCTCTTTAAACCAACACTCGAGTCGGAGAGGTTCTGTATCCGCATCTGAGTAGAGGGACGTCTTCATTTTGACTGCTTCAATTCTTGGAGAACTCGAGGGAGTTTGTACTCGCCGATTTGCGACGGCGAACTCGCGTACCATGAGCTCTTGGGCGGCATCACGTTGTTGGATCGGTGACGCTGCGTTTAGCAGCGTTGTAACAAGAATTTGGCCAGACACCGCTGCGAGGCGGTGAAGGTTTCCTCACTCCACTAGCTTGAGGTGGGGGAACGAATCGTGTTCCATTGTCTCCATGACAGGTTCAAGGGTCATGCAGTCATCCATCGCGTTGGAAGGACTACAAAGTGCTACCAGATGTAACGGGGCGAGAGCTACGTTACGTAGCTTACACTAAGATCTTACGAGGAAGCGTAAGAAGTATGCAATTTACTTGCGTACTTATGACATTTTTGAGTTTTTTTGTTATTAAGGTTAGATCTAAACTCTGAACCTTCTGTGAACCACCCAAATACGCATCAAAATATTAATTTAGTAAAATGGGGCTACATCTCCTTTTCGATCAATCATATAATGACACTAAAGGTGCGATATCCGTATTTTTTCCTTTTCAAATTTATGTAATATTCTCAATATTGTTACCGATTATTCATGATAACGAAAACGCTATTATTACAATATTGTTCTTGATATGGCGTGTAACGATACGATCCTGAACGACCTATCAGATCCTTATTTTCCTTTGTTGAAGGACAATGGAGATGTTGTCTCCAGAGAACCTCCTTCGAAGTTACCTCTGGAAAGTGGCGTACGTCATGAAATTGACTTGAATCCAGGAACCAAATACTGTTGCGTACACAGTATTTAATTCTCTGACCCCGTTGCACAAGTGGTATAAATTCGAATGAAGATTTTGATTTTGTCCTATTCAAAATCTTAACCTCAAGATTAGACGGTCTGTCAAAGGATTTTCTTTACAATTCTCGAATAAGGCTAGAGCTACATTGGATGTCTTCGGGCTATTGGCATTACACACCATGCAAGATCTTTATATGCCATCTCTTCCTCCGGTTTCTCCATATTCTGTCGCCCAGTACAAGTTAATCCACAACACTTGATGCGCTCTTCACTTAGTTTACTGAATGTAGGTGCCTCGCCTTCTCAGCCAATATTAATGTAGCAGTTACACTTAATCACGTTGCACAAGCACCTATGTAGCCGAGCTACTGTAGCTAAGCTACGTATGCACTATGTGCAGAGGAAGACAAGTCCAGAGAGCTTCTACGTTTTAGGGTGCATAACACTTCCATAGCATAGTTCGTAATCTTGTGCCTATCGGTATTAACAACCGAGTGTTAGAGATACTAGTATCAATGATACGATTCCTCAGGAGTAATATAAAACTCAAACAGTGATGCTTACAGAGCAGGTTTGAAACTGATTTATATTTATATTAATTTTTTTGCACTAAATATAGAAGCACCTATCCTTTACTTAGTGCTAGTCACTATTTACTGGCTCTATAACCTTTTATTATTATGCAAACATGTATAGTCACTATACTGAAATGAGTCTAGTGACCACGTAGCTCTCTGCCACGATGCAACCCTTCGTACTTTAGGTACGGTCGCATCGAGCCTACTCTTGTACCCAAGGTACAGCCACACCACATTGGTGTGGCAGGTGTATATGTAAAATACACACCTTCGTGTAACCCGTTACCCCCCCCCCACCAATCCGTGGGACCCGACGTAGCCACAAATTTTCGCACTTGATTGGAGTCATCGATTTTATTTTCTTCCCATTTTGCTTGCCTCGCAATAAGTGCCTCGCATTTGCGAACAAGGCTTTAGTGTCCCAACACTTGCTCTTTGAGGACCCGTACTTTGCACACACGCTGTCTTAGCATCCTTGTATTATGACACTTGCTCCTTGAGCATACAGTGCATTGCATTCACGCTAAAGCATTATAGTGTTATAACACTTGCTTATAAACGTTAAGTGCCAAGCACTCGGTATTAATAGCCATTAGTGTTCACAAACACTTGCTTTTGCAGCATTAAATGCCTAGCACTTGCTTTTATAGCATCCCAGTGTTCTAAACACTTGCTTATAGAGCACAATTGCTTAACACTAACGTATAGGCACCATAGTATCTAACAGTAGTTTATAAAGCACCATAGTGTATAAAACACTAGCTTATCAAGCACCTAAGTGTTCAACACTTGCATATAAAGCACACTCTTGCTCAACACTTGCTTTTAAAGCACCTTCGTGTTCAGCACTCGCTTATAATGCACCTAAATGTTTAACACGTGCTTATAATGCACCTCAGTGCTAAACACTTGCGTCTATAAAGCCTTAATGTACTTAACACTTGCTTATGTAATCCCAAAGTGTTGTACACTTTTGATAAAGCTTCATAGTGCTTTACACTTACTTAATTGGACCGAAGTGTCCAGATCATGCTCATTGAGCCATAAAGTGTTCTAACTACTTGCTCTTCGAGCTCTCAAAGTCTTTACGCCTTGTGTTTCATATAGACAAAGCCATATACGACGTAATCTTTGCTTCTGAAGCAGATTATAGTACTTTTCACGCGAGTGAGGTACCGTCAACTGCTTCCCAGAAGGTCAGAGGTGAAGTCTAACTACTTACCTTGCATCCACAAACCTAAGTGCTAGGAAGCATCTGGCGACGGCTGTCGCAGCTTCTGATCTTCCCGATCAAAAGCTTTAAAGACTTCCAGACAGTCTTGCCGTAGGGGCACTTTGTACTTCCATGAGTCATACGACTGAGAGTACCCCCTCCACTTTACCAGATACTGGGTGTGATCCTGGTGAAGACGTCGCGCCAATAGACGCTCAAAGTGAAAGTGTTGATGACCCCGCTCATCAGTCAGCGTTGGCGGGGGTCGATGACCCATCAATCCATGATCTTTTTGTATGCCTTCAGAGCCTATATGCAACTCCGGTGCCGTACTACCCTCCCCTCTCCTTCGGGCAGGGACAACCCCTTCTGTTCCACCGAGGCAGAGTTGAGATATAGCTTTAGCAAGCCCACGTAGAGCACAGGGTGTGTTCTTATCTTCTGTGGAAGGTTCAGCGTATAGGTTAGACCGTTCTTGCTTACAGCCTTAAAAGGTCCGATAAAGCGTGGACGTAATTTGGTTTTGTATACCGCAGAAACGGCACGAGTAGGTAAATTACTAGCAATGAATAAAACTAAATCACCCATTTTGAGCTCGTGTTCGTTCTTTCTGCCATTGGCATCTGCTTGTTCCTTTTGAACATCCTGGCTTTCAGCCATAGCGTTTTTGACGCGACGTAATACGTCAAAACGCGTTGACAGAACGCTTCCACCTTCTTGCGCATCGCAACAGGGCTGATATAGCCAAGCCTTCGGCTATCTCTGCCCAGTAAGCCCTGATGTGGCAGGGTAAGCGTTAACGGAACGCGAGGGTTGACCAAACCATTCACATAAAATGGTGTGAAGCCTGTCGAGGCATGCACCGGGTATCTAACGCAAACTCTACCAGAGGGAGCATCGTACTCCATTGCTTGGGTGTTTCACCACAAACACTGCGAAGCATATCGCCAAAAACGCGGTTGACGCGTCCAGTCTGACCATCGGTCTGCGGATGATCCGCAGTGGGCATGTCCAGTCGAGTGCCGAGCACTTTAAAGACGGACGTCCAAAACTTATCCGTAAAACGGGGGTCTCTATCTGAGACAATTGCCACAGGCGATCCTTGTTATCAAAACACACGATCCATGAAAAGCTACACTGTCCCTTCTCCATCAATGGAGTCCGGCACTGCCGCTAAGTGAGCCATCTTGCTCAGTCGGTCTACAAAAAGACCACAATCCTAGTGTTGCCTGCCGCATCGCGCGGTAGGCCAAACACAAGGTCCATACTAATGGACTGTCACAACCCCGAGGGTACAGGCAAACTCGCCAATAGCGCAGCCGTATTAGGCGAGGGCTTCACCCTTTGACACGTTTCACACGTGCGTACGTAGGTACCAACCCATTTGTACAGCTTGGGCCACCACGAATTGGTGCACACCGAGTGTAGGTCTTCTCACGACCTAAATGACTACCACGTGGTGTATCATGAGCCTCATAAAGTATCTGATACTTGAGGTCCTCATCATGAGGCACCACAACACGAGGCTGGTCATCCGACCCTGTATTATAGTACAACAGACCATCGGTCAGTGCATAACGATGTAATCTCGCACGATTACGTGGTGGCAACTTCACCTTAGAGTTTTCAAAATCTGCGCTGCCCAGAGCCTGCAGAATAGCAACACATGCCTCATCGCGTGCATACGCCTTACGGATACGATCCGTTACTGACGAACTCACAACAGTGAGATGAGCAAGCTTATAGTCAGGTCTACGCAATAACGCGTCAGCCAAAACATTCTGTTTTCCCGGCTTATACTTCACCTCAAAGTTATGCTCCGCGAAAAGGAGAGCCAACGAGCCATTCTCTGCGAGAGATGAGGCGACTTTGTCGCTGGTTGTAACGATGCATGATCGGTATAGACCACAAACGGCTTTGAGCCCAACAGGTGTACCCTGAAGTTAACAAGAACATACTTCATCGCAAGTAGCTCCTTGTCATGAACTGGATAGTTCATATCTGCAGCTCTCAGCTGGCGAGACTCAAGCGCGATAATGCGTTCTTGACCCTCAGAGTCGACTTGCAAAAGTGCACTGCCAATGGCAAAGTCCGAAGCGTCACATACGACGCTAAACGGGCAATCAGGATCAGACAGAGCCCTGCGAGCGCGCAACATCTTCTCTTCATTTTGATACGCTCGCGTAGACGGCGGTCTGGTAGACTCTGTGATACCAGTTGCTGCTGAAGACGACGCAATCCACCCTCCTTAAAGCCCATTATGTGAGCTTAAGCACACCCGTGAGTGATCACAGAAAAGACATTGTCAGATGCAGACGACATCTCGCCGTCGCTATCATCAGACGTGGATGCATCGTCAATCATTGTTAATGTTAAACTACTTCTTCGTCCCCATAAGATTTGATCAGGGCGATCAGTATCAGGCAGAGCCAGAATTGGCGCCTGAAGGAGACTCTCCTTAGTGGCTTCAAAAGCCTCGTGGTGTGCGGTGTTCTAACACCATTCCACATCCTTTTTAAGGAGATTTGATAATGGCCGAGCCACTGCCGCATAGTTGTGGCTATACTTGTGCAAGTAATTTGCCAAACCCAGCAAGCCCACTTGCGGAGGTCCTTTTGGTTCCTCGAAACCGGCCAACCCACTATGGCTTTGACCTTAACAAAGTCTGCTCGGATTCCTCGCTTCCCAATGAAGCATCCCAAAAAAAGGGAGTCTCTTCCGCACCGAAAGAAGATGCATTTGTCAAAATTGGCATATAACTTATGCATCCTCATGCAAACGAGTACAGCTCCCAAGTGGTCGATGAGGTTGTCCACATCAGTCTTGCCATTTTCGGCTCGACTATGAACGAACATATCGTCAAAGTATGTCTGTGCATACGCTCTATGGGGCTGAAACAACTGCGACACCAGACGATTGAACGTTGCAGGTGCGTTCGACAGCCCTTGAGGCATCACTAACTACTCCCATAGCATACCGCTAGAAGTGCTGACCTATATTGTTGCTTGTGCCAAATGAAGAGTCAAATCTTTCTTGCTCCATACCAACTTGAAATCATACAGCAGTCAAATTGTTGGTTCCACTTAATCTTCATTGCGGACATTGGAGATTGACCCAATGTTCGAACGTAATGAAGATTCTTCTACCTCTTCATCATCACCTTCGTTCGTTAGCTGCCCAATACAAACTTGGTTAACTGCCCTTTATTATTTGACGAAGCGGTGAGGAGTTGTAGACTATTTCACGTTGATTATCCATCCTATGAGTGTCTCCACGTTACGCGAAAGATAAGCAAAACATGACGAGAAATTTTTATACTAATACTAGTATAAATGTATTGCTATAATACTTTACAGCCGACCTCGTCGTTGATCCAGATTAACGATTACTAGAAGAAAGCAGACATTACCACTTGTAAATATCAACAACACCTGATTACTAAATTACACGAAGCTAGATCTGCCCATTTACCAGGTTTATATTCAGATAAATGCTATGCTGCGTGCTTTCAGCTGACGTCTTTGAAATACACGGCTTTTCGACACTATGCATTCATTCCCAAGCTCACTACTCAATCTTTCAACTAAAGCTTGACTCGACAAAGAGGACGACGATAATGACCCTATTTCCAGTAAAGTGTGCTTTGGTGTTATTGCACTATTTTTTATCCAAACAGGTAGTTGAAAGTTGCATCCATGATACACTTGACCACAAGTACGTCAGTGGAACTCAAAATTACGATAAAAGTCACCCGTTCAAGTCCAACAATCGATGCGCAGACTGCAAGAGTTGGAAAATACATCATTATTGTTCCAGCCCAGTCGAATAACACCTTACTATGACGACTTAAGTCTCAACCAGCTCTCAGTCGCCATCCGTGCGGAAGTCTTCAAAGTTGTAGAAGAGGCGATTCAACGTATTAGCAAAACACTTCAGGTCGTACCTGTTAGCGGGAATCTCTTCGCAAAGAGGTTTTGCACCAGTGTGTTTTTCACCACACCACCCAAGTGTCACTTAATTGCAACAAATGAGATGTGTTTAGACATGCCAATGCCCGATGACCATTTTGCCTCAATCGAGTACTGTGATAGGTGTTTTTCCAAAAGCTGCATGAACTGTAAAGTAACACCAGCAGGAGTAGAATAAGTAATTCAGATTTTCTCATCTACGTGCGAGCGGAAGACACAGGCAATTGCAAGACTGGAAGCACGTTGGCCTACGCATCGACATGCCAGCAAGATCAGTACGATCGTCCTACATTCGGTATGGTCAATTTTTGCCCAAATGGACTTAGTAATGCGACGTCAGTTTTTGAGCGCCAGGTGGCTACAGCACTTCATGAATTTACTCACGCGCTTAGGTCTTCATCTCGCTTCTTTCCGCTGATGCGACACGAAGATGGTACACGAAGAACTCCACGAGATGGCGAAGGAAATCCGCCAACGCACTCATCGGGAGTATGTCCAAATGGCAAAAATATTACTTACTATGTGGAACCTTCGAGCCAAACGATAAAATTTTCAACCGAACGGAACCATGTCGTTGCAAAAATGGTTACTCCTCATGTTCGCAAATTTGTAAGAGACCACTTTAATTGTTCCACGCTCAAAGGCGGTGAGATCGAGTCCCAGGACGGTGAATGTCTTGGATCACACTGGGAAGAGCGACTTTTTGAGCCCGAGGATATGACACCAGTCAGCAGTTATCGCAACGTTTTTAGCGGTCTCACATTAGCTTTCTTTGTAGATTCAGGATGGTATCGAGTTAATCTGTCAACATCAGAGGTCTTGCATTTCGGACGGAAAAAAGGCTGCATATTTGCGACTGAAAAGTGCATCAATCCTGCAACGCAGGCTCCTTTAGCTTCGGACCACTTTTGCACAACATCCGTAAACGAATTCCAGGGCTGCTCGATCGATGCCACGTCGTGTGCTTTATGTTCCCTGAGCACAAAAAAGCCTGTCGATCCTAACGGAGTATCAATACTTATCAAATATTTCCACAAAAGGCGGATCAAACAGCTACGCAGACTTTTGTCCGCTCATAGTGGGCTATACTGGAGGTGATTGCTCTATTACGTCGAACGTCCTAAAACTCGGCACAACTACTATTAATGCTTTTGGGGAGACGTATTGTCCAACTTGTAAGTGCACTACGACTTCTTTGCGAAGTGTTGATTCTTTGAAATGGTTGATAAGCTCACCACGACAGAGTAGTTGCTATGACATGCGTTGTCTAGCCAACGACAATGCGATAACCGCCTAATCTGTCATTGAGATCACTATCCCACGTAGTAAGACGAAGGACAATGTGCGGCTCAAATACATTAAAAAGGGACAAAAACTATCAGTACCGGGTTTTACCGGCGACGTTACATGCCCAGATCCGTTTGTCGTGTGCGGAGTCAACGAACCAAACCGAATTTTACGAGATAATACGAAAGGAGACAATGACATACGTTAAGAATGGATTTTTCCCTAATAGCATCTCAAAAACACAAACGGTAACAGCGAGGTCACCTCTACGTACACGCTCACTAGAAACTTAACAAGCAGCAGTACTAAAATGCGCGCTATAAAGCATTGGTTTATTTATTCTCTAGTAGCTTGTGCCTTGTAAATGCAAGAACATTGTTTGCAAGACAGGTTTCAACCTGTCTTCTCGCATTGACTGAAGAAGGTGGGTCTGTAACCCAATTTCATTTTAAGTCTGTAGATTAGAACTCGGGAGGGTAAAGAACAACTTGTGTATTTGACCTGCATCAACAATGGTAGTCAATAGACCTCGTAAAAATCTCTTTCTAACTTATTGACCAGAAAAGAGCAAGTGAATTGCTGCTATCGTGCAGATAGCTAAGCGTAAGAACTTAAGCTTCTTGGTACGATAACGGTAGAGCATCGTTACATACTGTTTATTAGGTTTGCACTTGGGACCGGAACAGTACTGGCTGTCCATTTCTTAAGAGCACAATCGTAAGATTTGGTTGCGTACGTATTCCTCATCGATTAGAAAACAAGCTCGTATAGTAACAACGTGTCGTTTTGTTATAAGTAGCATACAAATAACAATCGACACTTTGATCATTGTCAAGGGAGAAACGTCGGACGTCACGCGCACAAGCAGCCCCCTCCCCAGCTGAATGTACCACATTCCCTCCACTTTGACTATGGATGGGAAACGCGATTCGCGTATTATTATTTCCAATGATCTCACTGCATCTCGAGTACCCGCGTGCTTTACGAACGACATTGACGTTCTACAAACCAACAAAACCATAAGCAAAACCTATCAAGTGACGAAACGTGAAGAGTTTGGACCGAAACGTCAAAGTCGACGAGAGAAAGAAGCGATTCGGAAACGAGTGTATCATCAAAAAGTTAAAGACGAACGCGATGGTCTGCGAAGAAGAGTTGACGAGCTATCGCGACAGCTTCAAGAGCTAAAACACAACAAAGGAACAAGCTTTTCGGACAATCTGATCCTTTTTGACTCCGTCTGGAGAGACTTGGCTATCGATGAACGTGAAAAGCTGCTGCAATCCGAGACTGAACGAGCGCAACTATTAGCTGCTGTAGAGGCTAAAGCATCCTGTATTGAGGAAGTCTGCAAGCAGTTATCAAGGGACAAACCGACTGCGATACCTGCAAAAAGTATACCAACTGTACGAAAAACTCGCACAAGTCCACCTTTTGATTATACTATGTTTCGTGGTCATCTTTGGAGAGTATACGAAAGTTACGCTCTTGTTGATGAGATATATGACAACGATTCGATGACTGACGGTCTGCATTCTACGGTGAAAAGACGCGAATTGGACGGTGAAATTGAGTACTTTGAGTACCGAAAGAAGTTTACACAGCCGTTTCAATACAACCACACTGAACGAACTTTGTGGAAATTGGCAAGGCTTAATCATCGACAGCAAGACAGGGAGGAATTTGAGGAAGTAGCTGATCCAAACGATACGATCGTTGTTAGGTTTCGCTTGGTTCAAACTTTAACGTGTGGATCAACAGTATCAGTTCTACAGCGAAATGTTGTGCGTCGTTTTGTGGAGAATAATCGCACTGTGCACGTGTGGAAGACTCACTCTGAAGGAGAAGGTATTTTTCGTGGAATGCATTCGGACGAGACAGGGTGGGTCTTTCTTCAACCGTCTTTAGATCACGAGACGACTGAGGTAATGATGTGTGTTCGTCAAGCCCCGATGAAGCTTATTATTTCAAATGCAAGCGATGCACGAATTGAAGAGTTTCATGAAATATTACAGCGCTCAGTAAGCGATGACATGTTTGAAATAACAAGCGAATTAGACAAACTATTGCTCGAGGATACATTAGCAGGAATAGAGATCAATCCACCGTAACATGAAAATATTACTCAGAATGTAAGAAAGTTTGTATAATACGAAAAGTGGCAATTGAAATGGATGCTGTCTGCACTATTCTGTCTTTTTTTGCGTTGGAGAATCTAATCAGGGTCATTCGCACAATACGTGTATCAAAGCAAGCCGATGGAAAGAAATCAAGTCAAACGTGGTATTTGACCAACACAGCAGCTATGATACACTAGTCAAAGATGCTCTCAAGCAATGGAAGCAATAAACACTTCGTTTTCATAGGAATTATGACAGTTGAATACTTTTGCTGGCTTAGATTTCAACCCTTTCTACTTTGCTGACAAGAAAGATGACAATTGAAGTGACTCCTGTCTCGCAGACAGTTCAAAACCTTGTGGTTTCTTCAATAATGGATGGTCTGACAACTTGTAAAGCAAAGAAATGGGACAGCAGCGAGATTTTTTCATCAGTCCACAGTTATTCACGAAACGAACGGAATGTACGGAGTAGTGTATTTGTTCGCTTTCTAGATAGTCCCGTTCTACTAGCGCCGAATACTGCATCACTTTGAGCATTCATAGCACCCAAGATTTACGTTACAATACTGTCAACTAGCTTGAATCCAATGCTTTTGTCGGGAACGCAAGATAGACAAAGGCGTGATCTTCTCTAGCTGCGCGTCCGAAACGACATTGTCGCTACAGTTCACCAGTTGTTTTAGTAAGTAACCGAGGATCACCACGCGACATTGTCAATACGAAACAGTATATCGCGTGAACATATGCACAAGTCCTAACGTAACGGGGTCCCAACACTTTGCATACAACTACATCATAGAGCACTTTAGCGACAGCAGCTGGCACCTGTGGAGCGAGCAGCCAGGTACATAAATGACCTTAGCACCAGTAATTAGCGCAAAGTTATTGCAGCGCTGATAGTAAAATGTATGTTTCGTCATCTTATATGTGTCGATAAGTTTTCTGATAACTCTAATATGTAGGATTTCGTGACGAGAAAAGTCTAAGCTATCAGCATTTGAGGTCATTCATGCACTGCAACTAGTGTAGCCATATCACTTTCGTCTTGCTGTCCTTTCTAAGCGCATCATAAATGTCACTGTGATTCTACCAGATGGTGAAAAAAATGACCGGCTAGAGGCAGCTGGGACAGCATCTCCCCTGATAATGTCCGTACATCATTTTGGATCCAGAGAGCTCAAATAAGCTGAAGTGAACAACGTGTGTTGTCGTATCCTTCTGTACAATATATTATGACTGTTGAAAAGCGAGAAATTGTCGTATTGTAAGGAAAAGTAACTCACTGCGTTATAGTTTTATATGAATGATTTGCTAGCCATAGAGAAGTAACTAGCTATCAATCATTTCCAATGCGTTGCCAATGATTTTAGTATGAGGATGGTGGAGAGGTAGATGATGGTGGGTGGCTGGTGTAGGCAAAGCTGTTTTGCTTGCTATTTGTGTGTTATATGAAGTAAAGTATTTACCAGCTAAGAAGAAACTCGCTACGAAGTCAGTAAAGCAATAAAAATATAGAAACGTAATGCTGAAGAACAAAGCAGCAAAAATTACTGCTGTTTATTATAATAGCTGGATATTTGCATGGTGATAAATTATCGTTTGGTTTAGGGCAAAGAAATATCCAAAAGGTTCGTTTCTGAATCCCGTGCCCTGGCCAATCTCTGCAACATAAGTAAAAAACAGCAGTGTATGGCTGAAACATGACATTGTGGAGGTGTCTCATGCTGTATGAAAGTTTTCTACGTTTAGGGGGTTCACGATGACAAAGCCATAGTAACTCTCTAACTTTTCACCTTACCAGAAGAAGAAGCTAGTCGTTCTTTGATTGACTGCGCTTTCTTGTCTACAGACTTATTAAGGTAAAATATACAGTATTCACTAGATCTGTCTCTCTTCTCGTTGTGTAACATGTCGTTATGTATGTTTCTTCTTTTTTTATGTGCTGAATTGATGTTGATACATCGTGTTTGTCTCTTTAGGAGCAAACTTTAGCTTAACACTCCCCTGTCGCTTTAGACACGACAATTGACATTAATTAAGTGAAAGAAAAGGTAAATTTAGAATATGGGTAAAACGTCACGTACAAGCCGTTTTCTTACTCATTTTTGTCATGAACATTCATGCACTTACGGTTTTGGTCATTTTCTATGTCTTTTTTTTCAATATGCAGAAACCATGAGTTTTTCTAAACCAAATTTACCACCAACTTTACCAGTAACAATTAAACGAGAAAAGGATGAAAGATTTCCTTTATCCAATTCGGTATCCATTCCCGGTAATAACGGTAGTATTCCACGGAAAGATTCCATTGGTTGGGGTGCGGAAGATTTCTTAGGTATAATATCACACACACCACCAGCATTTTCACCTGGTAGTTTGACGATGCCAATGACGAAAAGAGGACGTAGTGGCAGCATCTCAAGTCGTCTTTTAAGTGCCTCGGATCTAGAAGAGCGTGGTTATATTGACAGATATCAAAAAGGTGTGCTTAAGGTACTGTTTTGTCATACCGGTATTTTTTAGGAGATATTGTCCAAATGTGCCTAAAAAACACACGTTCCTCTTTTTTATAGGATCTTATTATCAGTGGCGACGAAGCACTCCAAAAAGCTTTGGAAAAATTTGATGCTGGTGATCCAAGTACACTTGAAGCCATGTTGGATAGTGGTGCATTGAATCGAAAATCATCGTCAATTGATTTATTAGACGATCTAGATCTTGGGTTTTTGAATGTTGGTTCATTGGGTGATACACCCAAAGACGAGGTTTGTCGTGTCATTCTTTTTTATAGTGTATATGTCAAAGTATCTATCCGTCTCTAAATTTTGTACTTATGTGTCTCTAACTATGTTTATCTTGTTTTTTGGATATTATTTCTTGGACATTTTCGTCTAGTTTCAAGCGGGTGCACGTAACCAATCACTCGATGAATGGGATGAACTTGGTTTTGATTCGTCCTTTGCAGATGTTTCTGCTCGTGATATATTAGATGGAGAGTTTTATAGTTCTTCTCTTGGAACTTCGTTGCCCAATTCGTTACCATCCATGGGTCTTGGAATTACTCCTCCTGCAGGTTTTAGTTTTGCTGAAGATTTTTTGGAAAATCAGGTAAAGAATGAATTAGGATTGACTACACAAGGCAAACGAAATGGTGCTAGTAGTAAAGCCAATACGGGTACTACAGTAAAAACGTCATCGGCAGCGTCGGTGTCAGAAGCGTCAAGTTTGTCAACATCTCGTCCCATTGGAATTCCTGGAGCTGCTGGTGCTGGTATTGCACGAACGTTTGGTGGGATTAGTGGGACCAAAGCAAAAGATGGTCAAAAGCAAAACTTTGTGGGTGCCTACTCTCCTGACTCAAGACGAAAACGGATTGAGAAATTTCTTGATAAGCGGCAGAAACGAGTTTGGCGAAAAGAAGTCAAGTATGATGTACGCAAGAATTTTGCCGATTCGCGACTACGGGTGAAGGGCCGTTTTGTAAAAAAAGAGGATGAGCAATTACTACGTGAGTTGTTAAGCTTTACTTAAGTGGAGCTCTGTTTATCGCTACCAAACGGATACCAAAGTACTACGTAGCAGGCAAACTGACCAACAACTGATCGAGTGGGTGTTTAAAATCAGCATGACGGTCAGTTTTGTTTCAGTTAACACACGCCGTGTGAACTCGTTTTCGTCATGTTTTCGAGGATCGGGAGAGGTCATGGGCGAAAATAGTCGATTTGGTGACATGCGATACTGAAGTGATGCGTGAAATTGAGAAGGGTAAACACCGAGACGAATTGAGCCTTGGTCCATTGGCGTAGGCGCAATACTTGAAAGGAATGAATAAAATAAATGGAGTCTGGGGCAATGACGAGGTCGAGAATGAAAAGAGTGATGGAGTGTCATGCATGGCGACGTCGTACATTGAGGACAGATGGGGTTGACCTTTTGGGGTACGTAGATTTAGATTCTAGTTGAGGTCGAGTCAGTCTTGGGATAATATAATTTGCAGTCTTTTGTTACATGTTTGATCTTGTGACATTACCGAGTCGCATTGAATCAAAGGAATAAATAAGAGCATTCACACAAACAACTCTCTTATGCAAGAAATAATACGCCATATGCACAGCATTCCACTGTATTATTTGCAAACAAACTCGTCAAATTTACTTTACTTTCATCCGTACTTATCTGTAGGGCCAAAAACTTTTGTCAAGTCCGTGAAAATTTAGGCGGACTTGCTTCTATAAAAATGGCAAGAGCTTCCATCGCTCAAGAAGGTTCGAGGTGCCTCATGCGCCATCGAGTCAGAGAGAGAGACATTCACTCTGCCAATATACAATTCACCATTGCAGTTTGATACACACCATGACTAGTCAATCAATAGATGACAATGACCAACGTCAAGCCGTCGGGCTTCTTCATTCACGCATGTTTGTTCTTTTTCATCATCGTTGACATAAGTCACAGATCCACGAGGTAAATGGACGTCACTCACTTGTACACACTCATTATCTGTCCCGAAAACCTATGCAGCTGTAACGCCTGTAGGCTTGGGAGTAGGCGTCGTAGTGGCCGCAACGGACGATGATTTTATACGACCACGCGTCTTGTCGTTCTTGGTATCCGCGAAAAATTGCGCCGCATAGTCCGTCGAGCTCGAGGATGTAATGCCCGTACTCATGCCTTCGCTATGTGAAGTGGATGTGGGAAATCCAGTGCTCTGAAAATTGTGCGCCGCTAACCCGCGCGGAGACAGGAAATCCATCTTCATGCGCTGCTGACTGCTGCCATGGATTGCAGCCATCCCTGTCATGTGGCTCCGAGGCGCATTGTTGGCATGGTTACTTTGGTGATTCTGGTTGTGATCAAACACGTTTGCACCAATGTTCTCAAGCAGAGGAGACGCGCCATAGTGGCCGTTTGAGTGGAAAGCCATGGGCGTATCAGGTCCCATAAGTTTGATGTAGTCACTCATCATGGTATCATCGTTGCCACCAAGTGTTCGATCCGTAAGTCTCGGCGTCGGAAAAAGACCCAGCGAAAGGTAGTTGCTGGTGTTGCCCCGCGACACACTGGGCGGTCCGCTAGACAAGAAGCTATCAAGACCAGGTGTACGCTGGCCACTAGACATGCCGTTGGTACCAGCGTTTGTCATGGCCAAGACACTGGGCAGCTGTGAATTGTCAATCTGCGGAGAAGGTAAGCCCATGAGCAGCGAGAACTCGTGGCTTCGAGGTGTTGGAAAACTGTTACCCAGCGGTGTACGTAGACTGAACTTAGGCATCGTTGTTGGCACATTGATCTTCAAGGGCAAACCGAACGGATTCGACGCACTGGACGACTGTTGTTGCTGCATGTGCTGACTCTGCGGCACCTGAATGGAGAGCGGATGAGGAGGCGCGCCGTGTTGCTGCATATGATGAGGAGGCTGATGGATCTGCTGATGCTGGATCTGCTGGTGATGGAACTGCTCCTGCTTCATTAACTGCTCACGTTGCTGTTGCTGTCGCTTCTTGCTGCTCAGTCGTCCACCCTTAGAAATATTAAGCTCTGGTACATCTTCTCCATGTGCACGGAGCTCCATGGCATGTCTGAAACAGATGGAACCCGAGTGCTGCGCCGTCTTGTTACAACCGTCGACGCGACATTCGTGGCCGTGGGAATGACGATTACACAACCCACCCGCTCGTGCGTGTTGCATACAGCCGTCTACTTTACATCGACGTCCACCACCATGACGCACACACTTCTGCCGTGCATGGGCCTGTTTAGAGCATCCTTCGACAATACAAAAGCGTTTGACCACAAATCCACCATGTTGTAAACAAAAGCCACCACCTCTTGCATGGGCTTCACAATTCTCTGCTTGACATTGTTTCTTACCACCATGACGGACACAGAGTTTACGGGCATAGACTTGGTTTGTACAATTCTCAACACAACATTGACGTCGATTCTTGTGGAAAGCACACTTGCTCGTGCCGTCAACTGCGAAATTATCGCAATCATTAAAACGACATTTCTTCGGTTGACCATCGGCCGTGAGATGACGATTGGGGGATCCATCATCATCACTACTACCACTAGGTGACGATACACTTGGGCTTCGCGTCTTGGTGCTCATTGATACGGTCGAGATAGAATTTAGTAGAAATGGTTTCGTATATGTACGTTCAGTAACGACGTAGGTAGCTTGAGGGTGGTGGTGGTGTTAATGAATACCTGCCGACGTGATGTTTAGAGCTTAATTACTAGCAGTCAAGTAGTGTGCAATGCCACGACCGAGGAATGTTTGTGTTGAGTTGCGAGCAACTTGCGGAATGACAACCCTGCGGCCACAGCGGCTGTCGTTCCCTCGAGCCCTCAACGAGCAGCTGAAGACAGGCAATAGGGCAGACGAGGCGGACCAAAACTGGTAAATTCGTAGTGGTCCGTTTTCTGAACCAGTAGGTACCTCTCCCATCCCACTCTTTACCGAAAATGATACGCATGACAAAACGTGTAGAAATGACACTTCAAGTCAAGCGAGCATACGGTGCCCCGTTGTGCAATTAGCAAACGACGGGGGTTTTGTTTGTCGACTTGCAATTTGAATATAGTCTACATCACGGGTTATTTACGACGAGCTGCCTTGCTATCTTCCATGCGGCGCATGTAAACTGAAATTGCGAGTGACCAGTTAAGAGGTAAAGTTAAATTGGGTTGCGTAAGAGGAGGAGGAGAAGGAGGAGGAATCCTACGATATATCTCTGACGTCAAGATATTGACAAGTCTAGATGAAGATTAATGTGATGTATACAAGCATTGCCTTGAGTAGTATTGGCAAGAAAGAAGTGCATTGCACGCATAGCCTCTACGCTAGCCAATTCCTCATGATGTATAGATTAAGAAGCCCTACTCACTAGACTACTGACAGTGTTCATGGGATGAGATCCTAGCTGGTAATGTCGACTATTGGGCCGACTCGAAGATCCTATTATTACGAACACTTGACATATCTCCATTTAAAAGCTGAGAAATGTATTACTGAGCACCATGAGTGAGCCACGCGTTTGGTCTTGGTGGCTTTTCAAATCATTTTGTGGGCACGTTCTGGCGCCACCGTGCGCCTCGGATCGTTCCCCGAGCCACAATCAAACAATCAAGTACGCCAGTCGCCCCATCGTATAGGAGCAAGTGCGTGCGTGCGGAGCAAGGATGAGTCTTGCCCAGTATGTAGTTTACCTTGCCTAAGTGGACTGCAGCGCTCCTAGCAGATGTGAGCGTGCAGCGATGCCATTCTTCGTTTCTTGGTGACCGTGAGCTAATTATTACGACTTCATAGTCTACGGCCAAACGAAAAAACTGATTCAAGACGCTGTCACCGTGCGCATTCAAATCGTGCCTGTTTAAATAAACAGCTGACTCGGTTGCACAAAGAGAACGAGTCCGGCTATCTGGTAAGTGATTGGAACAGGTGTTGCTTGCCTCGCGGATGGCTCTTGAGCATTGTCTTATGATGGTGCACGGCGTAGAAAAAAGTAGCTCACTCTACAATACGAATAAAGCCCTTGAATGATCCGAGCGTAGCAAAAGATGTCCATGTGCCCACAAGCAATATGGTTGTCATCAAGGACAGTAAAGATATAAACAAGTATGTGGTTCTTACAAGTATTTAGACACGCACTTATTTCGTCTCGTCTTGTACGCAACAACAAACTATCATAGTTGTGTGAGATATGGACGTGGCGCTGTCGTTCGTGGAGGAGCAAGATAGGATCGGACATTCAAACCAAGACGAGCGAGCGGCTCTTTTGCTTTCATTTAAGAGCGTGACATGTCTTATGGTTTATTACATGTGATGTAAATATTACCTCCGCATGTCGCAACCCCTCACTTGACTGACTACAATAGTCACTTCAACGAGGATATCGATACGCAATCCATTGGAGCTAAGCCCGCAACTTTCTCGGGTTGGTGTCTAGCACCCCTTTCTGTGCGGCTCACGCATACTGTCTGTTAGTATGGAGTAAGGAAGGACGTTGAAATACGGAACTCTCTTTATCAAAATCCAGTCAAGTGGCTCGGCTAGAGTTTAGAATCTAGCGCCATCTTATCGCTCATGGTCCAAACACCTTTCATTACTGAGCACAGGCGGGGTCATAGCAGCCAGGCTTGTAGTTAGTATTATAATCCAAAGTGTCGATATGGTCGCTCAATTGAAACGTTGATACAAACAACAACAACAGCACTACAGCTACATATGCACAAGATCAATTAAAAACGGGACGACTCCAGTGTCTTCACTTCGACGTTTGCGTTTTATTGCAAAGCCGTTAAGAAAATGCCGTTATTGTCGCTTTCACCTCGTACAAAAATGCATCGCGCAAGTTTCTAACGCTTGCTGCATTTCATGTCACGTCGTACAATGGTAAAAAAGGCTCTACTATGCCTTCAGTACGAGATACCGACGCCTAATCTCAATGTACTGCGTCGTATATACGACAAACAACCATCAAGACACTGATGCTTTTTCGTCAAGGAAAAGGCATACAGGCATGGCTTGTTTGCTTGAAACTTGGTCTCATATTACGAATATGATGTGCCAGAACGCGCACTGCCTTGAACATTTGCGCGTGTCGAGGCTGTCATCATTGCCCTGTCCTTTGATATTTTGTCGCACTCGTATGACCCAATTCTTTTTCTGCTGCACATGAAAACATGATAAGGTTCTTTCATCATGTCCATGTATGTGTGTGTATTGTTCTTCTCTGTTGAGTCGCTTCTGATCAATCTCAACAAACTGCGACGAGGGGTTTTCTTCTTTGCAAAAAGGATCGAAATGCTACATGAAGTCTCACTGCTTTAGTACTTAAAAGCTTTAAGCTACTACTATTACCACCGTAATGCTCCATTTGTGGCGTTTCGCTGTGCTGGTCGCAGCTCTGCTTGTTGCTGCTGTCTTGGGACAAACTAACACCTCGCAGTCTGGATGTGAGGTTTGTGCAATCACAGGTGACTGTTCAAAGGCTTATCAAGGCACTCCAGGCAAGTTTTGTGGTAATTGGCTGGACCAGCAGAATGAGCGACGTCCATGCTGCTGCCCTGACGACGCCGTCTGCAAGGTATCGAACTACGCCTGCAATTGTGGCTATGTCGGCATGGCGGGACGGTATCCTGCAGGTAATGATGATGGTGGTCTGCTGTGGCTGTGGTCTCTTCTCGGGTCGCTAGCGCTGTTGCTATGCTGCTGTGGTTGCTGCTTCATGGCGGCCAAGCGAGTGAGAGACCGTCAAGACCAAGACAGCCCAATTCCGGTTGCGGCTCCTGTGGCAAGTCCGATCCCTGGAGGCGTGGGTAGCCAGCCATACGGGGCCACCTCGACAGCGTATGCTTGCGACCCGCCCTATCAACTAGGATATGCTACTGCTACACCAGCTTATGGCCAGTATCATGGTCAAAGCAGACGTGGAGGCGGCATGGGAGCTGGTACCGGTGCAGCACTGGGCGGTACAGCCGGTCTGCTCGGTGGACTAATGCTTGGAGGGGCGCTAGCTGATCATGGCGACTCTTATGATAATGGAGGTGACATAGGAGGCTTTGATAGCGGAGGGGGTGACTTTGGTGGAGATTTCTGATTGCAATACGAAAGAATAAGTCACTTCAGCAATATCATCCCATGCTTGTTGTGCCTCTTTTCCTGGTGCATATTTCTTGCTTATGCTTTTATTGATACTTCTCTTATGCGTAGTTTATCAAAAGCAGATGGGATCTGATGGAAGCAGCTACTGCGAAAAAAGAAGCTCAAGCAGTTTGTTGATACTATCAAACAAGTCTACTTCTATTGCAATGATACATATTCAGTTCTATCCTCAACAAGAAGCAAATACAGCATGAATAGCCTTCGTCCATCTATCAGTACAGACGTTTTTGTACACACGATTTGCCTGGACGTAGAGATTCAGTTCATACTGTACCCATAAACGTTTCGGCTGATAAAATCCGAACCTAAATCAACTTGCTGTTGCGGTTGTGCTCTAATAAATCGTCTTACTCATGATTGTTCGTCAGTCTGTAAAGACACAATCTTATCCGCACGACACTCAACTCTTTTCAATAAAAATTTGATGTTAAGTTTATGAGTTCAGCTTTCTTTAAAACTCTGACGCCATCCGGTAATCAATCCATTAACAGACGTCTTTTTTGTATACACAAGTCCACAAATGTTCTTGCAAACGATCGAATCAACCTGACTGTCGTCCTGTTGTTTGTTTGAGCCATGACGATCGAAACCGCTCGTATCTTAAATTTTGTCTGCTTGTATTTTAGTGTACGGAAAGATTGATCACATAAAGATCATGCTGATAGTCTGATATTGGCTTTCTTTTAGGCACGAGCTACATCAAATATATATTGCACTCGTCACGTGTTTTTCCTGTCTGACTATATCTTGCGTGTCTTGGACACGAAACCCAGCGGCTTCAAGGAATTAGGACGAAATCTTTTATAGATCGTGCTCGAACATTTGTTCGCTTCATCTGTGATAGATTTCATTTGCAACGAGTTATATATATTTCTAGTATATTACTCGTTGCATCTGCAGAATGAAGTGTTTGCAATCTTCTTTGAACATACGTATAAAGCAATACCATGTACGTATCACCACGTATTGTACCACAAAACGCATCACAGCGACCATTGCGTATCTCATCGGTGCTGTTTTAAGCACGTTAGCGAGAAATTCAACTTTTGAAGTCATATGGTCTTTATATATTGCTCCAACAGTATTTGGCTCGAAATCTTTTTACAGACACCAACCAACGAACGTAGTTGAGACACAAGTACCATACATTTCTTCTAATAAAACATCTGGATGCACAACTATAGCGTCCAGATGTTTCATCAGAAGATATTTGTGGCTATTACGAGTGTGGTGTGTTATTGAAGTTGCACGGACGAATGAGAAACAAAAATGACGTGAACTGACGTTGCGGGAGAAAGTGCAACATAAGCTGTATTTCGGAAACTTAACCACTTCAAGCTTGTGAACATTCGGACGTATGCCTAAGATGCAAAAAGTTGCTTATTTCGAACGATACTCGATAGTTAGTGCTTCTTTTTGTATGAGAAATACTTACACCTTGATATATATTTGATACTTGTAGTAGCCTCGATCTATAAAGCATGTTTGTTCCTTTGTAAGACAATGTAGATTGCAATGCTTATGGAGCCAACGTACTACATGCTGATGTCCATTCCATACAGCTGCATCGATTACCATGGTAGAACAGCCTTCATGTCGATTCCGATGCAGCCATTGCACCACCTCTAAATGCCCCGCTTTTGCCGCCCAATCCATTGCTTGTGTTGTACACCCCCAACAATATCAAGCCATCCACTTCGTGCTGCGCAGTCCATTGCACGCGTCGTGCAGCCCGTCAAGCGGTTATCGTGCAGTCATTTGACCACTTCCAGGTGTCCGTTCTTAGCAGCATTGTCGAAGGCAGACGTTGTGAAGCAATCGATGTTGCCACCATGCTCGTGGAGCCACCTCAGCACCTCTAGGTGATTATTTGAAGCTGCAAGATCGAGACACCATGTCTTGCCAACGCTGCGGATAGCTAACGTGTAGGAATTGCACAATTTCAAGATATCCGCTTTGTGCTTCTATTTCCATCGCCTGTTCAACGTCACATAGCAAGAACTTGTATTTGTTGTTTCTCCATTGGCATGAAGTCGTCGTAGCAGCTCAATGTGTCCCATAGCAGCCGCTCTTGCCATGGTCCAATGATGTGAGTAGTCAATGTATTCGCTGATGTTTTTCTCTACGTGTTCGAGACCTCCAATCGCTTCATAGTGACGAGCCACCACCATTACGCTGGTCAAGACTAATGCCTTCATCTTCGAAGTGCACAAGGTTCTGATCAGAAATAGACCGGCGATTTTTCAAGGGTGCAGTTTTTGAAATCGTTTTCAATTGCGCCGTCGGATTCGTCCACCGGATAAATGATGAAACGTTGATGACAGACTCGTCGCATGACGGACGAGGAATCACAAATCCTGTAGGCTTTGATTGCTACTTTGGTATGAGCAAGAATACGTATTCAATGATGATGAAAGTTTAGCACGAAGAGCAAGCAAGCTACAGCATCTTAAACTACCTACTGCACCGCTTGACCCGATACTTTTTAACACCAAGATTCATAGGTTTCGATTGGTACAAAGTGCATTCTCCATGGTGTAGTTGGCTTTGTATGAAAGATAAACAATGTGCTTCATGCTGTCTGTCCTTACACATAGATCACTGCATTAACTAGAGAATTACTACCCCTTAGTATACAAGACACGTGTCCTTGTGCAGAATTGAAAGCATTTAAAAGTCGATGTAGCACGAGTTGCTAGCGCACTCGTTTCTATATTACGGTCTCACTTGAATGTTACGTGACCATCAGTCAACTCTTATTAGCAATGTAATTATATGTCAATAGAATAGTCATAGCCACATGCCAATCACTAATGTCTCGAGAGTCATGAAGAAAAATGTATACAAATGTCTTCACTAAGCGTTGTTAGCATTTTCATCCAGATCAACTCTTTTTTACACAAAAGATATTGTCATTTACAAGCTAGCAAACCACCTTTTAAGAGAAAACCATGCTTACAACTCAGATAAACCTATAACCTTGAATCTAGATTCCGCTAAAAACACGTTTCGTATCATGGTTTTAATCAACTCATTACTAAATGACTATAAAACGGATATCTAGGATATATATTTTGCTACTTCTTTTTCATTAAAATCGACTTCTTATTGTAACATTTTGTGTCGAATACGTCATCCACATGATTTCGTCCAATACCGTGATTGGATGAAACTGTGTGAGGCTCATTATCCACTAAAAAGACCGTCACTATCTGACCATCACCCATAACCTCGTGGTAATCAATCGTCTTCATACCTCTCGAATAGAAGCATGCAGTCCTCATTTCTTCGTTCCTTTCACCAATCTCAATGTGTTTACGCTCGTGCATCTCGTGGTTTTTCGATCATGACTCAACATCCTCCTTCCTTTCATCCAGATACATATGAAGAAAAGTATCTAGCAAGGACGTATAATGAAAATGGTTTACGTGGTGAAGCAGGACTGTGGTTTACACACGGTAGAGGCAGTAAATTATACGACAAAGACGGTCGTGAATTTCTTGACTTCTATGCAGGAATTGCTGTCTCAGGTCTTGGTCATGGAGATGCTGATTTGTATCAGAGTCTAGTTGAAAATGGCAAGAACGTGACACACGTGAGCAATTTGTTTCACTCGAGAGCACCATTAGAATTGGCCAAGACACTTGTGGATCATTCATGCTTTGATAAAGTCTTTTTTGCAAATTCAGGCACAGAAGCTAATGAAGGAGCTTATAAATTTGCAAGACTTTATGCAAATCATGTGACAAAGGGAACGTACGTGATTCTTTTTTTTTGTTTTAAGCTCTTTTCGTAAAGTGTAGTAGATCATTGTAACTAATTGGTGAGAGATGTGTTTGGGTTGGAATCATCAGGTCACTGGAAGGAAAAAAGATGGAGTTTATTTCATTCAAGCATGGATTCCATGGTCGTACAGCTGCAGCCTTGACATTAACTCATAAGCCCAAGATTCGAGATGCTTTTATGCCACTTGTACCAGGTGTTCACTATGCTGAATTTAATGACATTGAGAGTGTGAAGCACCTTATTTCTGACAAGACAGCGGGTGTTTTTATTGAGCCTGTACAAGGAGAAGGAGGAGTGCATCCTGCTGACCCGAAATTTATGACTGATTTGCGTGCGCTGTGTGATAAGCACGATGCCATGCTAATCACGGACGAGGTACAGTGCGGTCTCGGCCGTACGGGCAAGTTGTTTGCACATGAACTATATGATGTGACACCAGACATTATGACGCTGGCAAAGCCGCTTGCTGGTGGATTGCCGATAGGTGCTGTACTCATGTCTAACAAGGTGGCGTCGGCTATTACCCCTGGTCAGCATGGTACGACATTTGGTGGTAATCCGCTCGTGTGTGCCGTGGCCAATACGGTACTGAACAAAATCATGGATGAGAACTTTCTCGCCAATGTGCAAAAGCGTGGCAGCTACTTGGCTAATGGTCTGGAGAAGTTGCAGCAAAAGTATCCTGACAAGGTGGTTGACGTCCGCAAGCCGATTGGCAAGGGTGGTCTGTTTGTTGCCCTTGAATGCGCCAAGCCCGTCGGCCCGCTCATCGAATACGCGCTGACAAAGCAGCTGCTCATCATTTCGGCCGGTGAAAAGTAAGTTTGCTGTGCTTTGTTATTCTATCTTGTGGTGTTGATATGATGTCTCACAATGATCGGTGTGCAATTTTATTGTAGCACGATCCGTTTGTGTCCGCCACTTGTCGTGGACGAGAAGGACATTGACAAGCTACTTGATGTCTTCGAGAAGGCATTTGAAGAGAATGTTGTGTAATGATGTTCAGTCATCCGTAACACGGGAAAATTGCTGAGTTGCTCTGACTTTGATTTGCTCTCTGTCACCATCACCGCCGTGGAAGCGATCAAACTCATATACGAGTCAATTTATTCTATTGTGCTGCATGTTCTACTTGATTGCAGACTTAACGTCGAATCATATCGTTTCCTAACGATTTTGATGTTGTAAGCTCCATAGTTCGAGTAGAGTTCTTTGGCCTTCCTTTGGTAGGGTCATGGATGTTACTGTTCTTCGCAGCTTCATGCGACGCTTTCGTTGTAGTTGGGCTTCTTGTCTTGCTTGTGCTTCGTCAGATTGTTGTGTCTCCTGTTGCGGCAACTGCTGTGCGGTAGCAATCACGTGGACGGGATGCAGCTGAGGTTCAGCGTTGTACCTCGTAAACTGAGGTGACGTTCGTTGCGTATCTACTTGTACACTCAGCCGTCTTGAAGATAAGGAATGGCTTGACTTAGAGACTGCTGCTCGTTTGTGTCCTCGTATGCGGTATGCGTAACCGTCAGGTTGCTCAACAAACGTGCTCCAGTTTGCCCATTCCATTATACCACTCGTTTCAGAAGACTCAGCACCGGACGCTACTTGTAATTCGAAACATGCAGCTTTGTTACTACACTTTTCCTGTTGATTACTCTGACGATCGGTTGCTTGGCTACCAACTTGCCAGCATCGTACGGTACCATCATCCGAACATGACGCAAGTTGAGTAGAATCGTGAGAGCTCCAGGTAACTCCGTTTACCTCATTCGTGTGGCCCTTTAGCGCAAAAGATGGTATACGTTGCTGAACGCCAAAACTAGACCAGGCAGAAGAAGAAACTTCATCGCATGAAGTACTTACGCGCGCGTCCCAAATGTACACGACACCATCCACCGACGCGCCAGCAATGAAGTCACCATTAGGGCTAAAAGTAGCTTTGCAATAAAACGAACTTGCGTGATGCCCTGTGCACCGAAGAATAGTTCTATCACCATGATGGCCAGAATCGTGCTGCTCTTGGCCAACATCAACCACAGCAATCGAGTCGTTCAGCACATTAACAAGCAGACGAGACGCACCTTCTCCTCTCCTTGAACCAAGCATCAACGAAGAAATACCGTGACGAGCACCTTCACGACTTGAGCAAGATATCTTACGAAGCGGCACTGGAAAGTTACTTGCTGCCTTGTCTTTTCCAAAGCTGACAGTAGAGCTCGACCCAAGACGTCGAACGTCCCAAAATTTTACCACTGCATCCACAGCACCTGCCGTAATGATTTCGTTTCCTGTTGCACCAAACTCTACACACGTAACACTACGTGGTGAAGATAGCATGGGCGTTACTCGTTGTCGTCTTTTTTTCTGGCTGGCCGGCTTGAAACTTCTTTTTGACGACACGATTCTCGACGGCGTCGGCTCTGCATGCACATTTTCCAGCGACAAAACCGGTTTCTCCGTAGCACGAGCATCCCACAACAAGACGCTTCCATCCCGTGCACCAGATGCAAAGAGATGAACACTATCAGGTGCTTGACGAATACATTTCACGCTCATACTATGTCCTCTTAGCGTTGATACTGGCTGTAGCTTCAATAAAGAGTTCATTCCTGCTATCTCAACGTCCCATAACTTTATCTGTAGATCTCCAGCTGCTGTGAGTATTTTTGTATCATCCTGTGTCCAACGAACGTCAAAAATGGCATTATAATGTGCCATCCAGTGGCTTTTCCACCGTCCTGTGGTTGAATCCACGATTCCCACTGCCCCTTCTTCATCTACAGCTACTACAAATGAAGTATTCGAAGCATAAGATACTTGAAACACTGGTCCAGCGTGAAAAACGTCCGTGAATTGGTCATTGAATCGCCTTACAGCCTGGTTTTGGAATGACAGGACACGTTGCGCTGGACACTGTAGCGACGAGAGTAAAGCAAATTGAATCGATTCCTGTTGATATGAGATAGAAGAGATATTCATGTACATGTCTGGTACATTATAAAGACGTCGGGAAGTCCCGTGACGTGATCCAGAGGCACCAAGTTGCAGCCTTGCAAGCTGATGGACGAGGTTTGCCATGTTGTGATAATAAAATCTTGAGCAAAATGACTTGATTTTTGTAACGGGTGTAGTGAAAGTAAGATAAATGTAGGTAATGATGGTATCATATCATGGACACGTACACTAAATTGGTAAGATATGGTTTTATATTTTGGGTGGAAGTAATTTAATGACCAGTAAGCAATCGTCTTCTTTTGGGCTTTAAGGTTCAGTAAGTTCCTGCTCTTGTCTGACCACCTCTTTGTTCGTGTCAGTTTAATGCAACACAACACAATAGGAACAAATACTTGTACTCCCGTCTCATATGTTTCATAGAAATAAAATACATTTAGACTTGGTTTTACTATGAACGAACATAAATTTCATTTGCAATCTTCTTTATTTTTCTTACATCATGACCTCGTCTATTTTTTGTATGCCTAAGGTATGACACAAGCATATAAAGATAGAAAGGGATTTACGTCTCCAACCTCATATACTTGATATCATTTGTGGCAAGGAGAGCACTACAATCCTGTGAAAAGTAGTACATTAGCTTTGTCGAACTTGATACAGTTGTCTCTTTTCACATACGACATGATCATTTTGTCTCGAAGGAGTTACAAAAACATGTACCAAGTCTTCTGATTGGTTAAAACATTGTCCATCCCATGGCTTCAAATCCACTCACTTGTTGTTAAAACATGGAAGTTTTTTTATATCACTATAGGGCCGCTAGGTATGTTTTAGTATGAAAGGATGCATAAAGCAGAATGCTCAGTACTAGAGATTACAAAAGACAAGGAGGACGTGGTGGTAGTATTGTTTATAATAGATCAACTAGCTCGTTTCCATCTATTTCGTTCAATATTTCACAAGATACTCTACTCTTACCTACTACTACACCTTCTACTACTTCTACTACACCTACTTCGACTACACCTTCTATATCTTCCATGTCATTATTTGATAGTCCTGAAGAATTGCAACAAGTTGTAACGTATGATACAATTGAGTCGATTCCAATGAGTTTCGAAGCAAAAGTGGAACGTAGCAAAAAGATCGAGACGGAGGAAAAGATGAATCTTATGAATACAATGATCACAACAACCACACGTGAAGCATCCTTGGTCATCCAACCAGATGAAGAGCAAGATCATAACGCACTTGAGGTTGAAGTGAGACCTCATACGAAGAAGAATTGCAGCAGCAGCAGCAGCAGATGATGAAGACGACGAAGACGAAGAAGATGAAGACGTGAGTCATCATCATTCCAATACAAGAGTGCATGTGATTAAACGTCGGAATGTTGGTGTGCCAAAATTTCTTCGTTTTTTATTCGAAATTTTAGAAATGGAAGATCCAGGTATTATTACATGGTCGCACGAAGGTACAGCTTTTCAAATTATTCAACCGGAAGCACTGGCAATTGAGATTTTACCAAAATATTTCAAACATAACAAAGTCTCAAGTTTTCAGCGTCAATTAAACTATTTTGGGTTTAAGAAATGGACCAAAACACAGACAAATGTCTGTACATTTAGTCATCCTTTTTTCGTACGGAGTGATAAGGACCGGATAAAATTGATTAAACGAAAAGAACGAGCACAGTTTAGTGTCTTATCTACTGGATTAATGCTAGCTGGAAGAATGAAACCAAAACCAATTGATTTACTGCATCATCTTGATGTGCAAGAAAAAACAAGTTGTCTACCAAGTGAAGGACGATTTCAGACTCATTCGGATCGTAGTAATGTTTCTCAAGATATACATCAAGTACGTCCGAGTCAACAAGCTTTAAAACGACAAAAGTCGACGACGTTTTCCGGCACAACTGTCACGTTTCTCAATTCAGCAGCAGCTGGACGGCGTCATTCAACGGGTATGTTGCCTGGATCGGAAGCATTTGGATTTGCAGCAGCTGCAGCGGCTGCTGCTGCAGCAGGGTCAGGTTCCATGGAGTCTACTTTTGTACCAGGACGGAAGCGTGCAGGAACACCAGCGGAACAAGAGTTTGAGCTTGAAATGGAAGCGCAATCGAAATCAGTCGTGAATTTAGCATCAGTGCAACAACAATTTATGCATATGAAAAAAATTGCAGAGACCAAGGAGTTACCACAGTATCAACGTTATTCTTATCCACCTGCACATGGAAAACGCCAAAGTCTTCCTCATGTTTTACCTCCTGGATTGGGTAATACGTTTGGGACAAATGTGAACGGTAATGGGATGGGAGGAAGTGGTGGTGGTGGTGGACATAGTGGATGTGGACCTCGTCGTGCCAATATTCTTGGGCGACGTAAAAGTGACCAGCTATTGAATGATTACAACAATCCTTCGAGTAACAAACTTATTTCAATCAGCCAGATTGAAGATTTTATAGCGTCCTCGTCGACATCGACGTCCCAGCAAACACTTTTTGCCTCGAACACTAAGAATGACGCATCCATGGTCCTCCCCATCTTATCAAACTCAGCTCACGATGCATACCAGCTTCAACAGCAGCGACAACAACGTCAACAGATCAACAGACAGCAACATTATGGTGACGGGGGATACGGATACGGCGTGAAGCTCCAGTCTACCAGCGTGTGGCCAACTTCCGTCAAGTCTGAATCTTCTAGTGGCGGATGGCCGACATCCATCAATGCAAATTCATCCTTGGTTGGAAACAACTCGTGCCAGCCTCAGCCGCAAAATCATTCAATGATGATGCCGTTAAAGTTTGGAGGCTCTAATGTATCACAGAACAATAATACGTCATTTACGGGAAATGTTATCGGATCCATGGACTTTTCTCAAACAGCGTTTGAAGGCGACAGGAAACTCCAACAACGTCCTCATACTTCCTATTCCCAGCAATACCAATCTCATCAAGAGCAAGTGGTATCATACCAGCAGCAGCGGCAGAAAGAGCAGCAAGAAGAAGAAGGACAGCAGCCAAGTCAGCAACCTCGTGACTACATTGATGTTTTGCTTGAAAGCGCAGGTGTGGACGATAATCTACCCCCACAGAGCTCAACGATGCTTTTGTCGGAATCCTGGAACGGACATTCAGAAAATGATTCTGCTAGCTCGGGGTCGACGGGGTCTTTTGCTTTTATGCCGACACAACAGCAGCTACAGCTGTCTCCGATGAGAGGCATGCCTCACACCCCCATCCAGCGTTTCTAAGTGCCACTTTGGCGGTCATATGAAAAGGTGGCACGCAAAAATCAAACAAATCGCCTTATTCGCTGGATCAAGATACGAACAAACAAGTGCGCATGGCTCAAAACCGGCAGGGATGTCGAATTAGACTGGCTAAGAAGCAGAACCAGTCTTCTCTATATGTAAGTAGTTTCTTTTCGTTGTATACATACTCAGAGCTGATGCCGAGTTACGAGCGTCTTCATCGCCAAGAACCCAGCAAGACAATGCCACACGTTAAAACTTGTGGTCCTGGTTAGCACATTTACCGTGATACGAGGAGGATCATGCATAGTGTGTAAAACGTCTTCTGTATAATGAATGTCCAAATGAAAGGAATTGATACCAACAATACCATGGAAGCATATTGTAGACAATGTTGTGTGTGAATGTCTACAATTAGCGTCTACAGCCCATGATTAGAGTTGGTGCCAGGGCATCGACAACCCATTGAGGACAGTCACGCTCTGAAAACTGCTGTAGCATAAAATTCCTGACAAACTCTTCAAACTTATTGTCGATGATAGATTGTCCAAGTGGTTCAGCATATACGTGACATTGTGATACGTGATGAGGTGTGCATTAATACTTCCCGTGGTGTTCTCTGATTCACCAAACGTCTCTTCTTTCAGCAACACACGCAGATATGCACGTGTGTACTTCTTGCATACGAAGCACTCACAAGTGTCATCAATCGGCCGTTCATCATGTTCGCACTTGGCACTCTTGAGTTTTAAGAGACCTGAAGGTACAATAGCCGTACCGAAGCTTGCAGTGCAACTTGGATACACACAGTCAAACATGTTGACCCCTAACGCCGAGCAGACGACGAGATCAATATCTAACACCCATGAGATACCGAGGTTTATTTTCCGGTAATTGAGCCGTGCATTTGGCAACGACCTTCCAGAATGCGTCCTTTAATTCACCTCCTGCTAATCCACCAATGGCATAGCCAGGTAAGTCCCGCTTAATCAATTCATCTAGACATTGATCTCTTAGTCCCCCATGACTTAGATCTAATCCTCCTTGTACAATTCCAAAGAGATTTTGCTTCTCCGGATTTGCATGAGCTTTTAAGCATCGATCCAACCACCTGACAGTCCGTTCACAAGCTTCTTGAAAGCGTTTGTCATTAACTGTTAAACTTGATGCAACATCATCTAGAGCCATGATAAGGTCAGCACCAATCTCATTTTGAGGAGCAATTGATGCTTCAGGTCTCAAGACCATTGTCGCCCCATCGATAGAACTCTCAAACTTAATACCATGCTCCGATCCGTGACACAATCGTGAAAGACTGACCATTTGAAACCCACCCGAGTCGGTTAATAAATTACAAGACCAGTGCATGAATTCATGTAATTTTCCACGTCATTGACCAACCATTTTAGTTCCAGGACGTAGAGCTAAATGATACGTATTGGCTAGAAAAATATCACAATCGATGGGGTTCTCTTCCATTTGTGGCGTTGTCAATCCTTTGATAGCACCTTGAGTACCTACAGGCATAAAAACAGGTGTATAGACGTTTTTATGAGGAAGAACAAGTGCTCCTGCCCGTGCCCAATGTGATTGATATAAGATATGAAAGGTTCAAGCACGGGCGATTTTTCAATCCAGTTTAATTTCGATCGATAATTGACACGCGAAGATAAAAAAATATATTCTGAATGAAAATTATGAGATATAGCAAGGGGTGGAATTAAATTGACAAAACTGTCAGTTTTCATACAAGAAAGAGAAGATAAAGTCCGAGAAAAGAAGGAAAAAAAAAGTGGGTTCATTTGTCACAAGAGACACTTGGCTGTAGTGGTGTAATTTATACGTTAGACACAAAAAATGTCACTGGATAAACAACACGTCCTTTTTATTCCTCCTTGGCATACTGTACACCCTGAAACGTTCCTTCCTCACGTTGCTCGTTCCAGCGGTCCATCTGATTCATAAAAAATTATAAAAAACCAGACGGTAAGAAATATATAGTTTACTTACCAATTCGTGCAAGTTATTTACTCTATAACGTACCCATGAACTCGGACAAACCGAAGCGGCGTACTGAAGGTACTTGTGACAAGCATCTTCATCTCCATCATTGCTTTTGAGACACAAGACAAACTCATTGTAGCGTGTCCAGCAATGTTGTGCTTGGTTCTGGTTAGGAAACCGCGGATCCAGCGGTGTGGTCTTGAGTTTCGCTTCTCCACTGGGCATTTCTAATTGACGATGAGATTTTTAATTACTGATTGGGCGGGATTGAATGAAACAAAAGTGGTAATAAAGAGAGGGTTTTGTGGATTGGTGCATTATTTCTACCAATGAAAAGGAAGTTATATAGCTACATGTTACTTCACAGACATGACATTACACAAATCATTAATATTTTGCAATTAAAAAAGTGCACGATTTGCGATTGATAAAGTCGTTGCTGATTGTATTTATAGATTTGATAACTTATTTTACTATAATTTTCTTACTAATCTAAACATAATAATGTATCAGTACCATCCATCAATTATACATAATGTATACTTCACCGGCATCCGTTTTATAACAACTAACCAGTTATCCCTACTCCCTTGTATAATATTCCGACTGTAGGGGTTAGTAACTATCCCGTGCCATGTTTTTGTACATTCTACAGTACCTATCTGTCTTCTAATTGGTCCATACTCATTCAAGTCGGAGCAACTCACTGTATATTACAGAATAAATTACATCACTAGATAGATATAATTCATCTAACCTCAAATTCGTCAGGGCGTGTACAATCTCCCTCTATAAGAATCATGAGCGCTGTGGATGATATTGAAGCACGGATTGATCGTCTTAATGACTCACATGCGACGAAAGTAACACAATTGCATGAATTACAAAAGGAATTACGCTACAATAGTAATACAGGTGTTGATGAACGGCTTGATACAGGACAAAGTGTTGCTCAATTAGAGGTTCAGATTCAAGGTGGACGAAAAATGCTCTTTAAAGCGAATTTTCTTTCCAGTCAACGAACATATGTTCGTGTAACGGTCGAAGTGGTGGAGAACCAACAGTTAACGAGCAATACTACAGTTAAAGAGCAAAAACTAACTACAAAACGACCCGTAAGTCCATCACCGCAATGGCATGAAATGCTCTTATTTCAAGGTCTTCCAGCTGCTGTAGGAACACTTCAGATTGACCTCATGCAGGAAGAAAAAATTGGAGCTGATGAACTCGTGGGGACATTTATTTTACCATTGGGAAGATTACAAGATCAGAGACAAATGGAGAAATGGATTGGACTGGAGAAACAAAAGGAGAAAATGACAGGCAGTGAATTGTTCATCACGTGTCGATTTCAACGATCACCAGTACGTGCACTAGCTCTACAACTTTTTCTCCTCCTCCTACTATTGCTACTACTATTGCTGCTATTTGTGACAGAGTCTGATGATGGTGTTGTTGTGATGGACTTTATGTTTTTTTTTCTACTGTAGATTTCAGCTTTGGAATTGGAATTGGAGCTGTTGCAGAATCAAATTAATGAGTTGCATTTATTTCTTGGACGACATCAGAATCTAGTGGGTTTATCCATGCAAGACTCTTTTGTCACGACGTCATCGATGACGTCGTGTGTGAATCCGTTGCAAGGAAAGGAAGTTGTGACAGGGAAAATGCTTGAACAAAGTGTTGTCTCGACGAGGTTTTCAGCTGTAGCATCATTTCCTCCTGCCATGAGAAAACGTGAATTGGGAGACGATGTGGACGTGGGTCTTGAAGCAACGCGAGTGAAACGTCAACGTGTTAATAGTGAGAGACAAGTGAACTCGTTGTCGGATCGGATTGCGAATTGGTTGTTGCCAACATCAGCTTTGGGTACTCCAACAAGCGCTGGAAAAGAAATGGGCACTGAATTGCAACACGGTGTTTTTTCTACTGAAGAGAGTGGTGGAGTGACTACGAATCAGTTTTTTCCGTTTAAACAAAGTCGACCTGCTCCAGCGCCACGTCGGCCAAGAAGAACTGGACGGTCTTTATTTGCAGCGCCACCGAAGACGCCGAGGGCGTTGCAAGCGATTGAGAAGTGGTTGTTTACAGACAAGGACGGAAACCCACGAGACCTGCCATTTGGACGCCAGGCACCGTCTTATTAACTTAGCTTTGTATCGTAGACCAGCACCAATCTGCTGCAAAGTCAGCAAAACAACTGACTCTTGTGTATATTTGTTCATTTCCGGTCATTTTAGACATGACTTGACTACATGTAATCGTTGAATTGCTAGTGCCGACAAACTATTGCAGAAAAGTAACAGTGTCACAATACTTGCTACCTCATTATTGATTCACAATGCCATTGCCAATCCCCAAACAATTTGTCATCATCACATAAGCATTTGTCATTGTTCTCCATTGGAAGGACAGAAAACGAAATGTTTTGTCATGAACAAACTCCAGAAGTCAAATGTTCAAGAATCATATGTGGAAACATGCATATACCATCGCAACTTTAGTTACATCAAGTCCCTCAGTATCCCCATCCGTTCGATCCCAAACGAGCTTTACTATCCGACTAAGGGGTCTACACCCCAAAAACGTCCAATCCTTCAGCAATTCGGCTATTAAAACTCGTCACAGCTCGCGCCTTCCTTCATAAACTTTGGAGCTTTCTTGGACTGGAGACAGTTGCAACAGATAGCTGTTGTCTCTTGCCGGTTCGATGACACTCGGTTCCGTCATCAAAGACACGATCACAGTTACGACAGGTGGAACGATCAACGTGGCAATAAAGGTGATCATGCTGTTCCGCGAATAGAGACCTTCGGGCAGGATAAACCAATTGAAGCCGCCAACGAACTTGTCTTGCACGATGGCACCACAGATGAAGATGGTGGCCAATCCAGCAGCACTGCCAGCAAGTGCTCCCGTGCGAGTCGCACGCTTCCACACGACGAGTAGCATGGGACCAACGGCAGCCGTGCACAGTAAGTCAGCAATAAGGTAGAGCGTGAGAATTTCATACCGCTGGTAGCCGATAGCAATAGCAGGAGCGTTGAGGAACACTAGAAGAATGACAAGTCAGACGATACTAACACATTGACAATGAAACGAATACAAAACTACTTACCACAGATGATGCGTGCATGCAGCAACGACATGTTGGGAAAGCACGTTGTGAGCTCAGCCGCCAAGCCCATTTGAATAGAATCAGACACTCCGCTCGACAACATGGCAATGACCACAACAATGAGCACTTGCCAGACGTGACCCATATCGATCAGGATTGCGAAAAACAAGTCGCCATCAGGATAGGCCAGATACGACACCATACCAGTCATTGCAAGCGTCACGGTAAAGACTGCAATGATAAAACTAGCTACTATCGCTCCTTTTCGAAGTGTAGTGTTATCATAGGCAGCATATACGCGTTGCCAAAAGCCCGTAAAGAATAAATTGGATGCCGTGACAGCAATGACCAGTGTCACAAGTGTTTCAAAGCCCGTGGTTGTAAACGCCGCAACATTTGTTTTTGACCATGCATTCTTTGGAATTGATACAAAGAGAAACATCTCAGTGCAGACGACTGTAATTAAGACAATAACGCCAACACCTTGCCATAAATCCGTCGCTAAACTTGCACGTAGACCTCCAATTACAAGATAAATGTTTGTAAGAATTGCAACAATGAGAATTGTCACAAGTGGATGAGCATCAGGGGATAACATGATGGTTAGCTTTGCAATTGATGTATACTCGGATGCTAGACAGATAAATTGATAAAACATCGAGATAAAACCCACATAGAGTTGCATAGTTGGCCCAAATCGATGGGAAACAACATCCGTCATCGTCACATTTTCACCCAATGCAGATCGCATATAGGGACCAACAAGACTTAAGACCATCATTCCAATTATACCCGATAGAGTATACCCAATAATACCCCATGAACCAACATCAACACCAATTTGTGGAAATGTAAATAAAGTGCCAGCACCAATCCCAGCTGAGAACATACACCATGCGAGACGTAATGTACGTGTGGAATTCTTGGCACTATCATCATTATAGGAACAGGTTGTTACCGGAAAAGAGGAACCAAAATGGGTACATTGTTAGTTTTGGGTACTAAATTAAGTGGCTTTGATTTTGTCATGGTTGGACGACAAAATAAAATGACCGTACCTGACAAAATTTCGTGCTGACTGCATTTTTACGTGTTGACTTATGATGATTGCGTAGCCAGCAATTAGGATAAGGGTAGCTGCCATGATACCATATAGTATTTCACTTGAAAGCATTTTTTATAAAAAATGCTTTTCTGTAGCTGTTTTCTTTTTTTGATATAAAAGAATTATTGATCCTTTGAGTCAAATGTTAATACTTTATAGGTAACAAACTAGAGAGTAGAGTGTGTGTACCTGATAGAATTGATTTATTTAGGACTAAAAGTAGCACTAACATACATAAAACAAAAAAAATAAGACAATCAGATATTGGAAGCCAAGAAAAAACTCCAGAACAGCAGTTCCTTCACCGGTATAAACCGGGTCAGGTTCTATGCAAAAAAACAACTGGTCCATGGTTTGTTACCGATACGCTCATTGGAAGGAAGTCCAGATAACCAACCGACTGCCATGTAAAGAAATGGAAACAAGAAGAAGAAAACATAGACATACCGTATAGAGGGAAGTGAGCGCGAGGTGGAATATTTCGTATTGGTAGCACAAAGGCAAATAAAGACGTGACTGAATGGCAAGCATGATGGGAAGTACGGTTTGTTCATACATAGAACAGTGAGTGGTCAAGGAGACCTTTCTATATAAGACACGAAATTTTCAGTTTCGGTTTAAGGTTAAAACACGGGTGCTACGTCGAAAAGGAGGTTTTATTTGCGTCAAAATACCTATGAAAGTGAGAAGGGTATTTTACCTTCTTTAGCTATTACGATTTCAATGTGCTGAGAGGTATTTGTTGTTTTAATCATTTTATCAAGTAATTCTTAGCTTATTCTTCTTTACATTATCATTATTATCTCTGGAAACAAACAAATAGCCAGCGCCGCATGTTCTAGAAGAACCTGTTGCATTCGGCAGATTAGCTGATAAAAAAAGGCATTGCCATAGACAGTATCGGCGTAAAGCCGGGCTTCATAGATCCGACGGATCGATATTCCGATCCTGCAACCTTCTTCGAGGTCACTTGATCATTTTAAAGCAACTGTTGCTTGCAACGTTGGCCAGCTTTGCCTGCAACAATTTCGACATTGCTACAAAATTGTGTTCATACAAAATGGAGCTGGCAGGTGTAATAGCCTCTTACTATGCATCTTAACAAGCACACTAAGTGAATGGCATCAAAAATCAAGTTACGAAACTATCACATACTACTGGTCTCGACAAGCTCTTAAATGAGCAAACTACTTGCTGATTGTAACATTGTGTGATACTGAGACGAATGTGACCACAATTCTTGCGAGATTGACAAAAAGACAATTGCGGCACGTGAGACTTCACTGACCTATTCAAAATGTGCTTAGTCCATACACGGTATCGTTTACAGTACAATGGAAGAACGGTCGATCCTGTTAAGTATTAGTTGAGAACAAGCATGGCTGCCTCGTACATCATCACGAACTGGATAAACTTTACAGCCTTCACCTTGGCCGTGTTTACGCCTCATACGAGGCAGAAAGGCCAGACTTACCATATCTATCTTAAGATACTGGTGTAGTATTTGAGATTCGAATGTTTTGGGTTGTTTGGTTGTTACAGAATTAAGAAATTTGAAAAGTAGTCAGAATAGAAATGGGAATGATACAGAATGCAAAAAAAAAACGGTCGGTATTTTGTTTGATGGGTTTTCTTGGTAGCATTCAGCAAAGAGTTACCAGCGCTTACTTCAGCCTTATACGACCTTTTAAGAACGCCTTGGCTCAGCTTTTCCCCGTTTTTGTGTAATTGTTGGACATGATGTCTGTACATACCAAGGTACAAGTGATATATAGTGCTGGTGAAAACGATGTATACTTGAGCTAACGATGCATTTGCTACAAATAACGACCAGATTACAAAGTTAAAGTCAAGTATGGCAACATTTACAAATCGACTACATCATTTGCATTGATATTCGTACCAAACTGATTCCAGCTTCCTCTTTTTACTGACACACGTATCCTTCCACTGTTGACCGAGCACGAAAGGAGCATGTTCCCGATTCATATGCTCCAGTGTGCCTTGCCATCTGCGCAATGGCACAAGGTCCACACATGAATACACTCATAACATCCAGCACTCTATTCCCAGGAATGTCAAACAACACGCGGATTTTCGTCCGCAGTCGGGATATTGCCAATACTGCAACAATTGCAGCTACGACACTGACAAAATTGATGACGGTACTGTTTGCAGATATAGCCAGAAGAGTCAGGACATACAGCGCTGCGTATATTTGAAGCACCAACTTGTAGCGTATCAGCCCCAAGCGTGCTGTAATCTGAGCCACAGAGATTCCCGGACAAATGAACGACATGAAACCTTCAAAAGGCAATATAAGTACAGTGTAACCAGAATGGCAGGGTATGCACAAAATTAGACAACAAAAACTAGTAAAAAGGGTTCAAACCATTGGGAATGCAATCGTTATGACAGCCCAAGAGTCTGCCGGACCAACGACCTAATTTTAGGCCATTGCGATCAACATCAGCCGTAGATCCTGCGTCGAGTTGTAGCTTGTAGGCAGAGATAAACTCATCCTTGGACGTCGATAGCTCAAACATTTGGTGTGGAGTCACTCACTGTGTGTCTTATTAGGGAGAGAGTTCGTTTATGAATGACTTGGAATTTGTATTGTGAAACCAAATGAGACGAGATAATAATGATACGTTAACTATACAAGGTATACCGCATCTCGTATTTATTTATAGGACCAGTTCGACGAAAGGAACTCATTATCCGTACTACATGTACCCAAACCACTTGTTTTTGTGTCATAAGACAAAGAGTTTTGTCAACAGATGATCTTCTTTTATTGATAATAAAAAGAACCCTAGTGTTACTTACTCGCGCGATCTACATGGCGATGAATAGAATAAGTATTACCCCTATAACAATTACGTCTATTACCTATTGCACATCATCACCTTTACCAAAAGACTTAGAATAGAAAAAAATTGCATTGTTTGAATAAATAACGCGCTGCAATTTGCTATCCCCCCTTCTTCTTCTCTTCGTCTTCCTTCTCTCTCATTCATATCCGACTGACTGCACACGATAATAAAGTGTTCTTGGCCCACAAGCTGCAGCGTGGTCTAGGCAAAATTTATAAGCCGCGTGATGATGCAGCCGACTCTCTTGCTTGGTTGGTTCTCTATTGATAAAAAACGCAATTCCCAGCCTAATCTTCTTCTTCATCTTCATCATCTTCCGAGATGGCATTGAGCCCTGTGGGTGAAGCACTGGACGGAGAACTAGCAATCTCTGCTGCTACGCCAGTGAATGAGCGCCGCATGTATGAAATTTCCTGTATTTGGCAAACAAGACTAATTAGTCATCTCCTTGATGAATTAACTGATACCATGGAATACTTGTACCCAAATGGGTACGGACTGTATCGTACGTACCTCAAGAATGAGCTGCGTCATCTCGTCGTCAGCGTCGAGCGTCACGAAGGAGCTGAGTTGCAGCTGAGCATTATTGGAACGAATGCTAAGATTATCCATGGCAGTTAGAGAGAATTTAGGTAAAAAGGCACGTTACCAACCGATGGCGAAATGAGAAATGCTAGAATATATACTAATACAAAATGAAAATGGACACAAGGAGGAAACTGCCCTTACGTTCTATGGGAAAACATGTCCACTCGTTCTGGGCTGGACATTCGAAAATGCAGGATTAAATACGATTTGAGACATGACAGCCGCCTCTTTTGCTCGTGACCAATCAAAATATTTCAATTTGTATTTTGGCCAGTCGTCAGACGTCCGCGTCACACATTTACGAAGTACGTCATTCTTGGAGACTGTAGAAGAAGGGGCGACGTCATTGCGATGGTGACGTCGCCCGCACTTGAAGTTGGCATTGCTAGATACGTGAGTTATCCGGATGGAAAAAATTAGTTGACCCCAAGACCACCATTTAGAAGCTTCACAACGACTTGAATGGCTTGTCCTGGGCTAGATAGATGCGTGCTTTCTTGCTGCCAACTTTGAGTGGAGATCAAGTTTAGCTGCAACGCGATGCAACGTCGCACAAAGGTTTGGTATTTTTATGGATATTCAAGCTATTGTGCCAGATTGAAGTTTAATTAAAAGGCGTCGCTCATGCTCCACAAGAATTATCATGGATCATATGATATGCAATGATATCGCTATCCGGAAGACGCTAAGTCTACTGTGTCGTCCAATTACAGCTACGAGCACGCGAAAGCATACAGCCAGAGTACAGTTACAGTTGCTGTAGCCATGTATCTGGCTGATACTTGTAGCGTCGTCAGTTCACTGCTACATTTGCAGTAATGGGTGGATCTCTAATCTTCATACTCTATAGTGACCTCGACTATGATAGCTATTTTACAGGACTACAATTCGTCCTGAGATGATGACATGAGAGATGGCAATCAACTTGGTGGCAAGATAAAAGCAATTCATAGAATGTGCTGCAACTTTAGTATTCAAAGCATAATTGCCAAAAATGAATTTATGCGGATACGGTCTAACACGATATTAGCTTCAATTGGTACCATTGTGCTGGTACATGTGCTGACCAAGGACAGGTGCAGCGAATGTTCGAGAATCCTTGTCGCAACTGATAGTATAAGATAGTCAATATGTATGTATTCAAAAGTCTTCCGCTCGTCGACATTTTCGACAAGGACTATTTACAAAAACATTACATGCATGTTGTTCACCTCATCCGTTGCTTGTTTACATGATACTAATTAGGTTGGTAATCTTTTGAGCCATCTCACGATACTGTTTCTTCTCAATCTCATTCGCTTCCTTCGTCATAATTGGATAAGAGGCACAAGTGGCAATACCACATTGGTTGTCCTTGTTACGGCTCATCATAATGTAGCCCTTCATGCCCCACAGATCACCCCACGAGTTCTTAACAAGCCAAAAGTCCTTCTTCATGTACGTTCCATAGCCAACAGCTGCCACGCCGTGGTCCAATGCAGACGGTGCGTTGCTACACAACGGCCAATTGTACACACCATGGCGATACAATTGGAACGTAAAGCTACTTGCATCAATACCTACTGCCTGTACACCTTTAGTAGCAATTGCCGCCTGTAAAGCCCCTTCATCACCCGATGTTACATTACCATACGCCGTAAAATGGCCCAACGCCTTGTCGTCCTTCGACTTGCATACACCCTTGGACTCGGCTGTATACTCATAGTCTGCTTCACGGTCAATTTTACCTCCATGATGTTTGATAATCTCTTCATAGCCATCACACATTTCTCCACCATGATTACAATCATCCACACCTCCAAGAGTACAGTCCACTAGCTCCTGTTCTGAAAAGGACTCAAGTTTGCCAGTGTTCAAAGCATAAACAGATTCCATTGCAGCTACGGCAGAAAAGGCCCAACAGGATCCACACTGGCCCTGGTTCTTCACAGGTGTTACAACATTGTGTTCACGCCAGTCCCAAGTATCCGGCACATCCTCAACATTTTCAGGCTTGTAAAATGTCTCAGTAGCTCCAGAGCTCTTCAAGTCATTCAAGTGATAATTCAGCAGCTGTTTATACTCAAGATCCTCAAGATCCGCAAGGTCATTAAGCCCTAGTGTAAAACTAAACTCCCCACGCTCGTAAGCTTCATTGTGTGACTCGATACGTTCGAAATTCTTTGCAAAGGCTCGAAAGCGAAACTGCACCAGGTCCTGATCATTAGCATCATAGCAATATTCCTTCTTATATTCTAGTGCATAGTCTACAAAGGCCTTCCATGTTTTATGTTCATTCAAAGTCAAGAATGAAGGCAAGTCCGTAGTTAATGCCTTCGAAGATGCAAATGTAGTTGCAAAGAGGACAAACGCTTTCATCCCAATGTTTTTTCTATACTTTCTGGCGTTGATGCGAATTCTTTCTCTCTTTTATAGAAACAAAGAGAATTTGAGCAAGAAGATTATTTCAAATATTTGAAGAAAACGAGAGTGAATGTAAGAACAACTCATTGTCCATCACTCTTACTCTATCCAATCACGAGCTTTTGACAATGAGTCAAGCTTTATATTTACTGGATAAAAAAATAGTCGGATATTTACCGTTGTTTTATGATCGAAAAAGAGGCTCAATTATGTAACATTTTAGTCCTGCAACAATTGGGAGACACTATCTCATACCTGTTTTGTAAGAATGAACTATCTATCATATGCGGGTTGGTTTGCTACTCGTCAGTCATCGTACAGATCGCCCGATAAAGCTTGAGAATTAGGCTAATGCAGAAGCCGACTGTGTTGTCTCCTTGACGACTGCCGCATGTTGGAGCAATACCCGCTCATAGTCGTACGGCATCACGCGCATAAACTTGGAGGTTGAAGCGTCCCAGTCATCTAGCACCTTTTGCGCCTTTGGAGACTGCGTGCGATCCAGGTGTTTCGAAACCAAAGCCTTCAGCTCCTGGATCTCGGCTTCTGACGCAGTTTCCGTCAGTGGACTTACTCCCACCATGCCCATGTTACACTTCTTCTGAAAGCTGTTATCCTCGTCATAGATGTAAGCAATGCCACCAGACATACCAGCAGCAAAGTTACGACCAGTAGATCCGAGTACGACCACGCGACCGCCCGTCATGTACTCGCAGCCGTGATCACCCACACCTTCTACAACCGCCTTCACACCGGAGTTACGCACGCAAAATCGCTCGCCAGCCTTGCCCGAAAAGAAAGCTTCACCACTCGTAGCACCGTACAGTACAGCGTTGCCGACAATCACGTTATCGGGGCTCGCGCGCTCCGAAAAGTCGTGGCTTGGGTATACTGACACCTCACCACCAGAAAGAGCCTTGCCGACGTAATCATTCGAGTCGCCTTCCAGGTCAAGGCGCACGCCCTTGGCAAGACCAAATGCCAGACTCTGACCGCCGTGGCCTTTTAGCTTCAAATGGACTGTTCCATCAGGAAGACCGTCCTCGCCGTAGCGCTTGCAGATCTCGTGCGAAAGCGTAGCGCCTAGCGTACGGTCCAGGTTGGTTACAACATCTTCAATCACCACTGGTGTCTTGCTCTCCAGTGCGTCCTTGGCTTCGATAATCAGACGCATGTCAATACAATTCTCAACCTCGTGCTTTTGTTCAATCTCTTTTTTGACACCTGCACCCTCATTCAGCGTACTAGCGTTAATTAGAAGCGGAGACAAATCTAGCTTGCGGCTCTTGTAGTGCAACGCGTTCTGGTTTACCTTCAAGAGGTCTGCGCGACCAATCAAGTCGTCCATTTTACGGAAACCTAGGCGACGTACGTAGTCCTGGACCTCCTCGGCGAGCATGAACATAAAGTTTACCACATGCTCAGGCTGACCCTTGAACTTCTTGCGCAGCTCCGGGTCCTGCGTAGCAACCCCGACAGGGCATGTATTCAAATGGCACTTGCGCATCATGATGCAGCCGAGTGTAATCAAAGGGCCCGTAGCAAACCCGTACTCCTCAGCACCAAGCAGAGCAGCAACCATCACATCGCGACCAGTTTTCAACTGGCCGTCGGTCTGCAGCTTCACGCGCGAACGGAGATCGTTCAGCACCAGCGTCTGCTGCGTCTCAGCGAGACCTAACTCCCACGGTAGACCACCATTCTTCACGCCAGTCCACGACGACGCACCAGTGCCACCATCGTGGCCCGACACAGTAATATGGTCTGACTTGGCCTTGGCCACACCGGCAGCAACCACGCCAACTCCGACTTCAGACACCAACTTTACTGACACTTCCGCCGACGGATTTGAATGCTTAAGATCGTGAATCAACTGAGCCAAATCTTCGATCGAATAAATATCGTGGTGCGGTGGCGGGGAAATGAGACCCACGCCAGGCGTTGTGTGGCGCATTGAGCCGATGTAATCACTAACTTTGTGACCAGGTAACTCACCACCCTCACCGGGCTTCGCTCCTTGAGCCATCTTAATTTGCAGTTGGTCCGCATTGGTCAAGTAATTCATAGTCACGCCAAAACGGCCAGAAGCCACCTGCTTGATAGCCGAGCGACGAAGATTAGGCGGGCCTCCAGGCTTCGTAAAACGCTTCACGTCCTCACCACCTTCGCCAGTGTTGCTACGTCCACCAAGGGTGTTCATTGCAATAGCGAGGGCCTCGTGTGTCTCCTGCGAGATACTCCCCAGACTCATAGCGCCCGTATTGAAACGCTTCACAATATCAGCAATACTTTCCATCTCCTCTAGCTTCGGCATCTTGTCCTCATCGACAAATTTGAAGTCCAAGAGGCCGCGCAGGTTCACGCGCTTACAAAGCTCGTTTGTCTCCTCGACGTACTGCGCATAGGCTTCGCGGGAGTTCTCGCGAGCAGCAAGCTGCAGTGCCACAATATTCTTGGGCGAGTTGTAATGCACTTCTGAGTTGTTGCGAAAATGATAGCTGCCTGGGTTACGAATCAAAGGAAGCATGTCCGTGTGCAACGGGTATCCAGCTTCGTGAAAACGCGAGATGTCCGTGTATAGCGCCTCAAAGTCCGTGCCCTGGATACGCGAGTTCGTGCCTTCAAAGCACATGCTAATGATATCGTCGCCAAGACCAACAGCCTCAAACACCTGCGCACCCTTGTACGACTGAAGCGTGGAAATGCCCATCTTTGACATGACCTTCAAAATACCCTTGCCCACGGCAGCACGGTATTTGTCAAAGACGTCCAAGTTTGTCATTTCTATCTTAGAATGAGCATACACCAGACCTTCGTCGTTCATCTTCCTAAGCGCTATTTCAGCCATGTGAGGGCTGATAGCGTCAGCGCCGAAACCCAACAGCGTGCAGAAGTCGTGCACCTCCTTGGCGTCACCAGACTCCGTGAACAACGCAACACTAGTACGCTGCTGCGTTCGCAAAGGTGCTGGTGCACAGCACCAACAGCAAGCAAAGACGGCACCGGGTATCGCTTCACACCGGCCAGCTTGTCAGACAGTATAATAATAGGTGTCTTCTCGTTGATGAGCGCATCCGTAGCTTGCTCGCACAGACGGTATAACGCCTCCACAAGGCCGCGGGCACCGCTGCCGGCAGCAAATGTAGCATCCAGGACCTTCGGCGTCCAGTCCGGATTGTGGGCGCTCTTTAGAGCATCCATTTCGGCGCTCGACATGACCGGATGTTCCACCATTAAACGTTTGGCATGTTGTGCAGTTGCATCTAGCACATTCGCCGCCGGACCCACAGGGCACATCAAACTCATAACCAACTCCTCACGAATGGGGTCAATCGGTGGGTTTGTCACTTGAGCGAATAACTGCTTGAAGTACTCGAAGGGCAGCTTAGGCTGTTCCGACAGCACAGCAAGCGGCGCGTCGTTGCCCATGCTACCCAAAGGCTCCTTACCAGTAATACCCATTGGCATCATAAGCAAGTCCATCGTCTCTGTCGTGAAGCCAAACATATTGAAACGGCGATTAAGCTCGGCGTAATTTGAACGCCGCTTCGATGGAGTAACAGTATCCTGCTTGACTGCAGTCAGCTCCGACAGTGACACGAGATTGTCGTCCAACCACTTCTTAAAAGGGCGGCTCTCACTGACAGATTTCTTGACCTCTTCATCTGACACAATCATACCGCGCTCAAAGTCCACAAGAAACATCTTCCCAGGCTCCAGACGACGTTTGTACTTGATGTCCTTTTCTGGCAGGTTCTCTAGCACACCAATTTCACTGGAAAGAAGGACATGATCGTCCTTCGTGACGTAGTAACGGCTCGGTCGCAGGCCATTGCGGTCCAGCGTAGCGCCAATGTACTTGCCGTCCGTGAACGCCATCATGGCCGGGCCATCCCACGGCTCCATGAGCAACGACTGATACTTGTACATGTCCTTCTTGAGCGGTGCAATAAGCGGATCATTCTGCCAAGCCTCAGGGATCATCATCATCATACCCTCTGGCAGCGAGCGGTTGCATGAACTGGCCTTGGTAAGAATTTCCAAAACAGCATCAAAATTACCAGAGTCCGACTTGGAGTCAGAGCACACAGGCAGCAGATCTGACGTGCGGTTGCCAAAGTACGAGCTGTGCAACGTGCCACCACGAGCGTACATCCAGTTCTTGTTGCCGCGCAACGTGTTAATTTCACCATTGTGACACATAATTCTGTTAGGCTGAGCGCGGTCCCAAGACGGGAACGTATTGGTTGAGAACCGCGAGTGAACCAGTGCCACGTATGATGTAAAATCCTTAGCCGACAGGTCGTCATAGTACTCAAACAATTGCTCAGGTGTGAGCTGCCCCTTGTACGTAATTGTACGATTACTTAATGAGTTCACGTAAAAGTCCGAGAATTTCTTTTCATTCATTGTAGTGACAACGTTTCGTAGTCGAAGAAGTTCCTTCTCAAAGTCATCTCCTGATAATTTTGGATTCTCATTTAGCACCATCACTTGCTCAACATGAGGCTCCGAAGCAAGTGATGTTGCTCCTAATGTGTTAGATGTTGTCGGCATATTTCTCCAGCCTACAATCTTAAGCCCCATGGTCTCTGCTATATCGTCGAACGTCTTCTTAGCCAATGGGATATCACTTGGTGAATTCTTGTTAAAAAAGACGTTACCCACTGCATATTTTTCCTTTTCCAGCTTCAATAACTTGGCAGTGGCACCAAATTCTCCATCAGCAATGACACGCTGCATAAAGTCGTGGGGTAGAGCTACTAACATTCCAGCACCGTCTCCAGACGCAGGATCGCAGCCACAACCACCACGATGAGACATCCGTACGAGCATTTCATTGGCTTGTACGACAGTAGAACGTGAGGATTGTTTCTTCAGGCTGGCAATCATACCTACACCGCAACTGTCCTTCTCTTCAAGCTGACGGTAAAGACCTTTTTGCTCGAAAAGTGCGCGTTTATCAGCGTCTTTGCCGGGAATGGAACGAAAGCCACGGCGCCACCAGGATGAGTTTTCATTAGTAAGCACTGATACACGACGTAAAAGACCGGAAGATAATGAAAGCGAAGCGACAGCGCGGTGACGATGAATGCGGAACATGCCGAATCAGAAAGTAAGTGAACGCCACAGCGCGGAATGCGGAATGTGCAACGACGGAGAAGCTCAAATTTCTTTTGTATGAGATTTTGTATGCCTTAGGAGAAGATGCTTTCTGAAGTAAGGCGAGTAGAAACTAGTTGAAAGGAAAGATGGACCAATGAAAAGCGTAGGATCTTGCGCTTTCTGTGCTCACGTCTTTTTATGTGTAATCATTATTAGACTGTTGGTTGTCAATGCACTCACTCACTCGCTGATGGTCCTTTATTTTCAAGGTTCGCACTGCCATGTTAGTAGATCTTAACTGTCTTATCATAAGTATTACAATCTTATGGATAGTAAGTAGTAATGGAGATACTGCGCTGTGTAGATAGATGATATATTACCTGAATGCTGCGATTGGTGTAATAACTTGCGTGTCGGTTGATTTCTCATGGAAAGACTCATCCTCCTGCTTGCGCAAAACGGGCCAGTGTAGGACCAGATGGTGCTGTAGCTTGCTTTTACTATGTTGATATGAAAGTGCTAAATTTACTTGGTCCTCACACATCCAGCAAGTGCAGGTTCTTTGTCTCCCGATACCTCAACTTGCTTGGATTACTTGATCAAGTTTAACCAATGAACAAAGGGCTTTTCTCATTCTTACGATTGGTCAATAGAGCGTGTGGCCCTCCTCAAGAAATTTCCACATGTAGCCATTTTCCTGATGGTCTGCATGCGTTGAGAATTTCAACTTCAGCTACAATTCACAAGCCTTGCATCTCAGTGTGAGCAGCAGATCAATCAGCAAACAACAGTAACGAGGAATAGCAACTGCGACATGAGTGACATGCTGCATCTTGTGTGCTAAAACGAGAGCAAGAATGTTACGACATCGACTGAGTTCTTGTTAAACTGGTAGGCACTAGCGGGCACAAATTCAAGTAAACAAGGTTTGGTTGGACCGGGCTACGTTGTAGAAATATCACAAACTGATTGCACTTTTGCACAGCTGCAAGCGCGAAGACCCATATGCTACGAATGGTGGAGATTTGTCGCGTAGTTGCAGCATTTGCCTTCGTCATACGCCACAATAACGAACGTGGCACTGACACATGGGGAAGCAAAGCAGCAGTAATTCAAGCTATTTGGGGACGCACAATTTGCCATCTGTGACATCACGGGCTCCGTGTGTCTTGTCTCCAGTCGTTGTGAACTTGCCGCTAGCGTTGACCGCTCCGTCTACTTTTGACGAACGATAGGCTTGACAACCATTAAATGATTCACTGGTTCAAGTTGCAGCAGGGAGAAGCAAACCGAGCTCACGCGCCCAGCGGGACCTAGCATCGTCCGCAAAGCAGCATGAGGTGCTGCTTCCAGTTGGCGTATCTTGCAATCACTCTAAGCTCGGCTGCCACCTCCATATATGCGTCAGAAAAGCTAATCGAGCGGCTGCATCGTATTGTCGCCCATAGGTTTGGATAGGTGTCTGCTTGACGTAGATGATGGGTCCAGCTCAGCCGTAACACAACAAGATACGCTTACTGCTCATGTAGCTAAATTACTCGAGCTTGAAGCGTTTCTGGACGATAATGCTCAAAGAGCTCAACAAACCAAGTGTGCCTAACGCCAGACCCTACAACCGAAGGTGTCGTTGAGAACAGTCTCGTGGAAGATGCGGATTCTTCAGTAGCTGTCATACGAATTGTGTACTGAATGGTACGTCGTGGGATATATCTTGTCCGGATGACCCGTCTAGCTTGTGCTCTTGCTCTCAGCCATCAGTTCCCAGAGATGAGATGAAACTGTGCACAGCTCTGTTGTGCTCAGTTTCATTTAGTCTTTGGGTACTTAGTGACGTGGTAAGCACCCACTCGACGTGATCATGGCGGTGCTGCTGGTGTTCTTTGCAAAAATTGCAATCGGCTTTGCATGCGCTACGTTTTCCATCCTGTGGTCATTGATAAAAGATGGTCATGTTTATTGACTACTACTGCTGCATTGCCCAAGAAATGGCCATGCACATGACAGTTAACAAACCGACTTCAAGTAAGTTGTATGGCCTAAAGTTTGGTTAAACTTTATGAATAAGTGCTTGATTCTTTATTCGATATGAATAAACAACATGGAAGGCTCATGTGTGTCCAAGCATTAATGGCTTTTCATTACAGTATAAGTTTTGTCTAAACGAGTGAGTACCCCTGAACAGAAAGTTATCAGTTTTGACATAACCCGCAGCATCCACTGCACAGTTAAGCGGGTTATTTATTTAGACAATATCAGTAGCACAAGAGGATTCAGTCGATCATTATGGCATCATCATACGTTGCTGCTTGCTGCCTATATCTTAAAAGCGTCTTGCTGGCCTACTGCAGCAAGACGTTCGGCGTCCAATAGAATTTGTCTGCCTGTTTGTTACCTTAACCTATCCCTTAACACTGATGATGAGATTTGCAAGGTTTTGATCAATTAATCTATCCTCTTTTGACTCACTACTATTGGATATTCAATATAACAATATCAGCCAATACGAAGACGTTACTCATTGACGTTTAGTATGTATGTGAACGCTTTACGCGAGCGTCTTGCCACCGAAGTGCCTCAACTTCCGCATGCGTCAGGTTGTCTCTCCTTCTCTACATTTCTCTCTACTCTCGCCAGGGTCCATTAAGCGACGCGCGCTACAATCGCCGCGCTGAAGTCCGTCCAGACTGCACGATCCTGTGTACATTGGCGAAGGAGGTACAGGTCTGGGGCCAGTCGACGGCGGTGTCCAGCGTGGTTTCTTGCTTGATCCCCTGGATGTCTATCTTGTCAACAGGACCCAAAGAGGGTCCTTGTTGTTTGCACCGTGAACAAAGAATAACGCGAGTGTACCTAAGCGGAGATGCCGGGACTTCGGGGCTTCCGGCGTGGCGGCGTACATCGTGGCGGCTTGGCTGGCGGCTGGGGGGAAAGCGACAAGAGAGAGGTGTGTAAAGGGAGAGGATACCCGTCCAAACTGACGGTTGCCGCAAAGCACCCGTCGGAGGCCTGAGCTAGCATCAGCTAGCCCAAGCCTTCCGGGAGGGCGTTACCCCAACTTGACCAGGATTGACGTTTAGTAATCAGTCGCTTCTGTGACGGACCACCTTGTAATCGCAACAAACACAAAGTTGTGCAGACAACTCGCTAAATTGGACACTGACATGCTTCAATGGAAAGACCACTGTGCGTCTCGTTATCCAATTGTGTGGTGTCTCAAGCGTTCTTGCTCGTATCTCGATAGCCTGATCCATTCACAAGTAGTCCTAGTATAAAATCTTCTCAATGACATTCACCTATAACTCACCCTTTGCCAAATCTTAGCTACTCTTCTTACTGCCCGATTTCTTTGCGTTGTCGATAATGTTAGCAGCGGCAGCAGCAAACCGCAAAATGTCATGCTCCAAGTTCGCAAAAGGGAACTCGCTCATCGGTTTAAGCGTAAAAAACTTATGGTACTGTACGTCTTTGCCAAAGCACCGCTTAAACTGTGGAAAGAATTTGCCGCCATTCGCACCGCGCACCCTGTGATCTAGAGGCAATGCTGTGCGCTTGTACTGCTGGATATGGGTCCACACTGTCTGGTTGTTCGTGTACGTGAGCTTCAGTGTGTTACGATGTAGAAAAATCACGTTTCCACTTGGGTCATGTTGTACCATAGCCACGCCACAGAACAGATCGTGGTCCTTATGCTTCGTGCCAGCGGAGCCAGGTGGGCGCTCAATCATGTGAAACGAGCTGCTAGACTTGATCCACGAGAACCGAAACAAATCTTTGTCGCCCCACATAAGATTTAAATAGTCGTGAGGTCGAGGCTTTGAGAAACCGTAGTACATAAGCAGGTTCAACGCCTTGTAGTGCATCCGTCGATTGATCAGCACTTGGCCACTTTCCTGCTCAAACGCGTTTATATAATCCAGCCCAATAAACTCCCAAAGGTAGCTCTCCTTGTTTATATTAAAAATCGTATTGCCTGGTTTCCAAAAGTCTGGCCAGAAGATCGCGCCTGTCTCCAAAAACTCCTGCGTATCAAACAAATACTTAGGATCACGCACTGCAAAATTATCAGCGTCCAGCAGCAGCACATTGTCAAAGGCACTATAGAACAGCGCATAGAGTTTTGTAAAAAAAGATGTGACCGACTCGTCCTCAATCACACGCAGGTACGCTTTATACTCCGTCACCATAAGCTGCAAAAGTGGGTGCTCGACACTCATCTCCGACGGCTTGTACCAGACCTCAATCGGCAACGTGCAACCTAAAGTGCGCAACAAGCGCACACTCACATACGCTCCTAGCATCATTTTTTCGTAAACCACATATGCTATTCCCCGGTCAAATGACAGCTCTAGCTCTCCATGGCTCTCACTCGTTCTTTTTCCATCATCTCCGAGCAAGGTTGGCGTATCGGACAACCTATTGGTTGCACGGAAGACCTCTTGATTATGCGTGTACGAAAAGTTCGGATCATGTTCATAGTCCATCGACAGAATACGATGACTCTGTAGACTTTGAAACAAATCGCACTTAAACATCACGTGTCGTCTTAGCGAGTTGCAGTGCATTTCCATCACTCGTTTTACCTCCCCCGTGCGTGTATTGCGCACCTCACAATAGCCTGAACGCCCATTTGGAATCAATGCACTGCAGTTTTCATCATTTTCATACTCTCGTGTTCCCAACGGCGAACAATCTTTGGTTTGTCTCCATCCAATACACTCATAGTCCCTCAGATCTTCCAGTTCTTTTCTTGTTACTTCCTTTTTCACCTTTGTCATGTTTATCGATGTAAACATTTGCGACATTTCATCTATTCGAAGCACCATCTCGTGTCTCTTTGCTGCTATAAACAGCTTTTTCTTGGTCATTTTTTCTTTGCTGTCATTTGCTTGAGTATCATTTAATATCTTCTCATTCTGTAGCATGCATCTTACGATCACAAGATATATCATACACAATACAAAGGCGACAAAAAACAACGCCCAAAGCAGCTTCTTTGAACGTCTTCTAGTCATTAAGGCTTTCTTGTTCATCCATGAGACTTGATTGCTGCTGTCATTGCTCTCGTTCGTTGACGAATTCTTCCGGTTTGGTTTACAATCTTCACTTGTTCTGCCTGCAAAGAAGGAAAAAGGTATCCACCTACGTTGCTGGATACCATGCTTTACGATCGCGACAAGATGAGTTTGACTGTACAGGCTACAGGTATTGAGTACGTGTCTTATTAATGATTGAGACTAAACGAGGGAGAAATATTCGGGTTACATGAAGAGGAATAGAAGTTGCAGAAAGACAAACACGTCCGTGTTGTTTTTGTACCTAAGACCATGTCGTGATTGTCAAGCAGGTACTTTCCTAACTCAGTGTTATTTTTCGTATTTTTGACCGAGTTTCGGTTACGTTTCTCTTCTCACAGCAGTAGTACTACTATCTATAGTGATGGATGGTTCGAGTGCAACATTTTTGATGTTCTTCTTCCCTTATTGTTGGTGCAGAAATAAGACCGGTCACTTCGGTATCACATTTATGTAAAATTTGTATCAGACCACAGACTCAGTTAGAAATCAAAGCTGTAGTCTTAGTTGCATTAGTACTGCGTGTGTCTGTGGCGCTCTACCTGTTAGATAGCTTTGGAGCCATCAGAGCCATAAACAACATTCTTACCATGACACCTCACATTAAATGCCCCTCACAATATCCATCTTCATGGTTGGTGGCTGCTGTGGGGTGTGGTCTTTATTAAGTTAGGCTAATGCACTCACCAATTATGCAACAGTACACAAAGCTCTTGATTGATTATTAGAAGCGATGCCTCAAGAGAAAGCGCGATGGTCGATCTCTTTCGTGTACCCGCTGATGATTCAGGTGGTTTAAGAACAAAGATGCAAAGTGAGCTGCGATTGAAACAGCTTCAGTGGTTAAGTCAAATTTGTGATTCTCTTGACGATCCCATGATCAATTGATCAGAGAATCGTCATATCACCTTGACAATGACATAAAAACTAGATTGACGACTGCTAGGACATCACTTCAACAGCCATGACAATACATCACTCAAAGACCAATACCCATCCGAAGCAAGAACCCCGCAACACTGAGTGTGCTCGATCACTCCATGCTCTCTCACTTTTCGGTTTGCTTTCAACTTCCCACACAGCAAACAACAACCGATCATCCCAACCCAACAACACTCGTCACTCCGTCTACAAGATGCACTCCAAGGTCCTCATTGGCCTAGGCCTGTGCGTCGTCGCCTCTGTCATGCAAGCCACGGATGCTCGTGGCGCTCCTGAACTCTCCTCTCGTCGTCAACTTGGCTCGTACAAGGACCACAAACATCACTTGCACAAGCACGACCACCACAAGAAGCATCACCATGATGACAAGGGTCACTCGTACTACCGTCGCCGTCTTGAAGAAACCAAGGCTGCTGAGTCTTCGGACTACAGCTACGATGACTACAAGAAGGTAGACTACAAGATGGATGACTACAAGAAGGATGACTACAAGAAAGACGACTATGAGCACAAAAGCTATGGTCATGATGATTATGGCCATGATGACTACAAGCATGATGACTACGACTACAAGAGTTACGGCTACAAAAGCTACGGCCACGATGACTATGACTACAAGGGCTATGGCGTCGGCTATAAGGGTTACGGTGATGACTACTACGGTCATGGCAACGACTACTACAGCTATGGCAAGGGCTACAACAGCTACTACCCAGACTCGTATGGTTACGGCAATGACTACTACAGCTATGGCAAAGGCTATGGCAAGGGATATGACAACGACTACTACGGCTATGGCAAAGGTATGGCAAGGGATAGACAACGACTACTACGGCTATGGCAAAGGCTATGGCAAGGGATACGACAACGACTACTACAGCTATGGCAAGGGCTATGGAAAGGGATACGGCGGCTATTACCCGGACTACTACTCATCGTACGGCGGTGACTTTGGCTATGGTGGCTACTACCCGGACTACTACTCGTCCTTTGGTTACGGCTACGGCTATCCCAGCTACGACTACGGCTATGGCTACTATGGCTACCCCGGCTATGAGTCCGCATCAGGAGGTGCCGATACTAATGCTGGCAAGAAGGAGTATGATTTGGAGTTTGCCACGGAGTCTAGGGATAGTGCCAACACCAAGTCTGCGGAGAAGGAGAGCAAGACGTCAGAGTCGTCGTCACCGTCGGAGTCGTGTCCGTCGGAGTCGCCGTCAAAGTCGAAAGAAGCCAAGTCTGATACCGCAAAAAAGCCAAAAGAGAAGTGAGAGTCAAGCAAAGTACTGTTGTGCAAAACATTTGTGCCGTGCAAACGTAGACAACAAACGTTGACATGCAGTTTGAAGATTGTAGCGTAGAAAATAACTGGTGATCCTAGCAATTCGAAGCCAATGGATGCCCATGTATTTCTACAAGCTTGGTAAGCGTTATACGTGGAGTAGTTGCGAAGGTTGTCACACCGTTCGAGCACAAAAATAATGCATCTATAATGACAATTCTTCAGGAACAAATATAAGCTTGATAAATGTTATATCTTACGAAACATTGTGGCGAACAATTACCATATTCATTTATTGTCATTTAAGTCGTCCTGTTCCTTTCTATCAGCACCTTTTGGATAAAACAACCAAGTGTCATCGGTTTTTCGTGAATGTTAAATTTAAGGCGAAGCCAGCTGGACGCTAAGGACGCCTCACACAGCAAAGATAATGTTTATACCGCTATTTTTGTATTCAAAAAGACTGTCGCAGAATCGTACCTAACTTTCTTAAATCAGACTACGACAAACCAAGAGAGTGTTGTAGTAATGTAAAATAGAATAATTAGAATTCATCTACCTATCCAAGGGACTTCCACCAAGATGATCAATTGCAAGGCGTGGTACGATGACGTAAGCAGAGAAGTTACCCGATAAAGTCATTAAACTCCAAATAGTATGACAGAGAACAGTAATTGAACAACTTTTTTTCGATTGTCCCGATTCAATGAAGTGCGGTTACACAAAGGTGTGTAATGTATATTCACACCTGCTACACTGGTGAGCTGATGGGACCATACCTAAGGTACGTGGGTTCACATCGTGGCTGAGACCCCGCACCATAGATTAAGTGTTACAAATGCATATGTGGAGAAGTGAAGATTATGGGAATAGGCTTTTTGCGGGCAATCAGGCGATTCAACGATATTGGTAATCCAAATCATACGTGATTGATCAATAAAGTGATTGCACGGTGTGGACTACACAATACGGATCGCGACCGTGCCCAGCCGGTCAAGTCGTCTACGGATTAGATCGCGTAGTGTGGACCGCACATCCCAAATCACGATCGGGTTCCAAGTCGTTAGCAGATCGAATCGCGTGGTGTGGACCACTTACCCTGAATCGCGATTGCTACTGAGTCAACGCGTGGCGCTGATCCTGTCATACAAGTAGTCAAGATGTTAGTTTTGGAATTATTGGACATAGGATAGTATGGAATTGCTAGGTTAGCCATAGGTAGTGTTGGTACATTAGGCTAGTAATTGGTATAGGTGTTGGTTAGTGACTAATGCATAGGTAACATCTGATCGTACACGTGTTCTAATCTCTTCTGGGTAAGATTGTTGGCCACCTGTTGAATAAAGGGAGGTCACATACGTACAGCAGATCGCCCCCGGAAGATTTTAGGTAGGGGTTCAAATATACTTAAGTCAAGTGAATTGCGATTGGACGCAGCGTTCAAGCAAGGAAAAGGGTAGGATCATCGAGAGTTTCTTGTGATTACCGCTTTATAAAATGATGCACATTCCTGGATATTCTGGTGGCTTGGGATGTCGCCGTGTATCCTATATTTTAAAGCCGAAGATCTATATGGAACTTGGGATTGAAGCGTCTGCGGCAGAGAGATCGCCGCGGCGCTTAAAAACGAAAGATCACCGGAGCGTCATTGATTTGTGAGGGAATTCGACAACAAGTAAATGGAAGAGGACGATCAATTGGATCTGGTCGATAAACTTTTAACCTCTAACCCAGGTCTCTTCAGCGACTCCCGCGGATCACTATAGGAAGCGCGACTCGCTAGGTGAGGATTGATCGGTCAAAAATACCTAGAGACCTTCATCTAAATAACATCCGAAAGTTACATCCAAGATCGAGAAGTCGTACGATTCGCAAAAGAAAAAGCTGCGAGTACTAGGACTAAAGACTTGGCTAGATCCACATGATCAGAGGACTTTACTAAATCATCTTGAGGTCAACCTGATCAGATGACTTGACTTGAGATGACTTAATTCAGTCAAGTCATCTGATCATGTTGATCTAGTCAACTCTTTGAATCAAGATGACCAAGTGAAGTTGCTGGATAATGCACGTCCGTTCAAGTTGGCGGACGACGACAATCTGATCAAGTCAGAAGGCTGACATTTGGATAAGACAGCCTACGAATTTAATTGAAAAGAATTGAATGCGCTTCGCTGAAGTATTCTGTGCTCAAATTATAAAACAAAAGCGGAGCGTTGAATGGTCCACCGTCGATACAACACCAATGACGAACACGTTGAACGAGGTCCGGCAGCTGATGCAGCTGTTAAAAGACACTGGGTTTTTTTTTTTTTTTTTTAAGCCCACGCGCTAATAGATTGCGATCACGATCAGGTGATCGACGATTGCTGTCTGAGATGTTAGTTCCTATGACTGATGTGATGAAATCTACAGATCACCTGAACATGCAAACTCGAGATAGCCCAAATGAGTGGTAGAGTTTATTCTCAAAACTGCGTAATGAGACCCCAAGCCACTTACTGTGCCGGACTGCCGAAATGTCGGACGGAGTACCCACCCAGTTCAAAGAAAAGTTGGCCGATCTGATCACGGGACTATTGTCTGCGAAGATCGTTCAGCTCTATACCTCGCCATGGACTAGCCCAATTGTCATTATTGTGAAGAAAAATGGGGTTGATATCAGTCTGTGCATTGATTATCGGTTAGTGAATGACTTGACAGAGCTTATGGTCTACCTATGCCTCTGATCAACGAACTGTTGGAGGGTCTGAACGGAGTATTGTGGTACTGCTCCCCGGATATGGCTAGTGGTTTTTAAGTCGTCGGCATGACCGAAAGGGCGAGAAGGATCTCGGCTTTTGTCACCCTATTGGTTTTTTTTGAATGGCTGCAGATGCCTTTTGGACTCAAGAATGCGCCTCAGATATATCAGAGACTCTTACATAATGCTTTGTATGGGTTTTACGTATCTCTTAAGGAGCTGGTACAGAAGAGACCGAAGTCTTGTTTACGATGGAGAAGCCGAATGTAAATCTGGGTCCCTCAGTACTGGGTCGGCGGTCCTACATAAATGACATTCTGACACCGGTTGACTCGTGTGATGTGTTGTGCACAAAGGTAGAGTGGTTGTTAGATGTGTGTGACGGTTGGAATTTAGCGATCAGTGCGATCAAGAGTTCATAGGCGTGCCGGAAGGTAGACTACCTTGGACACCGGGTCTCGGACCAAGTACTAGAGGCCTACCCAAAGGACCTCCAGTCCATGGTCGACCTACCGTTGCCGACGTCACTCGAAGCCATGCAATCGTTTTTTGAAAGTCTGAATTACTATGGTAGATTCATTGAAGACTATGCAGTGTATGCATCGATCCTTTATGAGTTACGGAATGTAGAATTTTACGATTGGCGATGTAAGTTGAAGACGCGTGACAGTGGGGTGGCTAAGGCAGAACACAAAGAGAAATGGTCGGTCAATATACCTTTTTGAAGTATAGTGACTATGCATGTTTGCATAATAATAACAGGCTATAGAGCCAGTAAATCGTGACTAGCACTAAGTATAGGATAGGTGCTTCTATATTTAGTGGTAGAAGATCCACATAAATATAAATCGGTTGCAAACCTGCTGTATAAGCCTTAGAGCTTGAGCGTTCTATTCCTCCTGAGAACAATTGTGTCTCAAAGAGACTAGTATCAAAAATTTGTATCTTTGATACTAGTCTCTCTGAGACTCGGTTGTTAATACCGAGAGGCACAAGCTTACGAGCTAGCCTAGGAATGTTAAGCACCCTAAGACGCAGAAGCTCTCTGAGCTTGTCTTACTCTGCACATAGTGCATACATAGCTTTGCTACAGTAGTCTGACTGCTTCTTTTGCACATAGTGCATCTGCACATATTGCATCTCTACATAGTGCATAAGTGGCGTAGCTACAGTAGCTCGGCTACACCTGGTAGCACTTGTAGTCAATCCCGCAGCTGTGTCTGACTACTTTTCCGTGAGAATGGACATCGATGAGATGTCCGCGGTTGGCCTGTCACAGGTACAACAGGAAGGGTTGCAAAAGCTGCTCCCTATCCTTGGCCCTAAGGGCGTGGAATACCTCATCACCCAGAGCGAAGAAGAGGTTAAGAAGCGTATTCATATGCTTGATGAATATAACCACGTTCTAGTCGAGCATGTAAAGGCACATATGTCTTTTTCTGCGCCTTCTCCCATGGCGACTATGGCGCAAGAAGTGGTCCGCATACCAAAACCCATACAAATGGAAGTCGATAAGTTCGACGCCAAAGAAGGTGATAACGTTATGCTTTGGTTCCCAAAAGTTGAGTCGTCTAAGTTTATAGCTGCATCACCTATGACCGTACCGTGTGAGCTTTTTCACGGGTATGTTGGGTGGCTTAGCCAAACAGTGGGCATTCACATGTGGTGCATCACTGCAAGATGCATTCCCAACATGGGCCGATCTGACAGTTCAGATGAACCGGCAGTATGCACCGCCAAACCAAGCACACCGTAATCGGTCGCGATTTTTGGTGTGTCGTCAAGGCAAGCGTGAGCTTGCAGCATATGTGCAATAGTTGTGAGCTCTCATTGCTGCCATGGTCATAGACCCTATGCCTGAGGCATTGAACGTCACGGTCTTCATGCAGGACCTCCGAGTTGGCGTTGACAGAACGGAATTCTTCTGGGTAGACCCGTCCTCATTCGAGGAAGTTGTTGGGGTGGCATGGAATGCCGAGACCAACATCAAGGCTGCTATGCCTTCCACTTATAACTACTCGTCTGATGGGTCTGTACCCGTGGACTGTAGACAAGTGGAGGATGAAGAAGCGGAGCTTCAAGCTGCGGAGCAGCAAATTGTGCGCAGATGTTATATCTGCAAGAGCATAGGCCATTTGATGGCAAAATGCCCTGCGTGAAAGGCATATTTGGCCTCGAAGGGCCGACGCCCCATGGGTAAACCCTTTGGTTTGCCGCGAGGGAACGGTAGAGCCCAGTAGGGCGCC